TCTCTTTGGAAGTAGCACTTTAATAGATTGTACATGCACAGCAGAGTGGATTTCATTGCCATCAGTCCTACTCATTGGACTTCAATTTAAATAAGTTAATACGTTGAAGAATGAATTGCTTTGACTAAGAAGTTAGCTCCAACTTTTAACCTTTTTAAATGAAGTAAATTACAGTTCCTCTCCTTTGGGTCAACCACCAAAATGCCCAGAGGAAGATGTTATAGTTACCTTTAATCATACTGTTTTGCCATATTAATTTCAGTCAGTTCATAGACATACATCTGAAATTCATTACTACCTAGATATAATTTTTTTTCTATTTATCAATTAGAAACAGATTATAAAGAGAGCAAGCACAAGTAATTATTAAGAGGGAAACAACTGCATTTTTAGGAATAACTAGTATTCAATTATTTAAATCAGCAAGCATTCTTCTAGTGCCAGACACACAGTCTCCTTTCAATTTTGATATATCTGCTGTGTTTGAGCCTCACATTATCGGAGAGCTAAGGAGAATTACGGCTTTATTTTTAAGATACTTAATCCCAATGTTTCCTTCTGTGTGGCAAGAATGGTTACATTAAAATTTAAAGACAAGAAAAAACAAATTCTTGGAAATAGTTTTTACAACTTTGAACTCAGGGATGATTTTATTACTTTATAACACAGCTTTCCAGTACAAAAGCAATTCTCCCAAACAACAACAACAACAACAAAAGTGATTCTACTGCTAAAACTATTAGAATTTAAAAGGAGCACAAATCTAATTGAAACCACAAATCCCCATATTCCGAGGCTCTGGGGCTGAAGTCAAAGGAAGGAATCTCCAACAGCAAAGACAACAAAAATCAAGATGATCTTGGGCAATGGAGAAAAACAGAACTGAAGAGAAGAGGCGAGGTGATGTATCATGAAGTGGCGAGGCCATCAGCCACTTTCTCCACAAAAATCTCTGGGGCAGCTGAGCTTGGAAGTATATGCTACCTTGGGTCTCTTCTCTTGTTCCCTCACTTGGACTCAAAAACCTCTTTAGGACATCATCCATCTCCTGCAGAACTAACTGGGACTTCAGGAGATGAGTGGGGTATAAGTTCAGAGATCCTGGCTTCAAGCAAATATCCCTATTAATAGAAAAATAGGTAGGGGAAGAAAAACAAAGAAATAAAGGAAAATATTATTTATAAACACATAAGTTTGGGGGAAGGAGGGAGAAAGGGAAGAGGAATAACAACTTAGATCCAGGGGAAATTATTACTGGCCTCAAGGACTGACTAACAAGGGAGACATGAAGTTACATACCAGTTCTTATGTCAATGAAAGCTTCTTTTCCCATACTTTACACCCAGAGCTAAGGTAGGACTAAATCTAGCATCCTAATATAATACTTCAATTTCCCTAACACAACTAAACCAAAAAGTAACAATCCTATCTGCAAACTACCTCTTCAAATTAAATCTGTATTTAAAGAAAGATAAATCCTAAAACAATGTCTTACAAAAATAGCCCGGCTGGGGTGGCTCAGTGATTGAAGGTGAACCTATGAACTAGGAGATCACAATTGATTTCCTGTCAGACCACATGTCCTGGTTGCAGGCTCCATGCCCAGTGTGGGGCAAGGAGGCTGCTGATCAATGATTCTCTCATCATTGATACTTTTATCTCTCTTTTCCTCTCTGAAATCAATTAAAATTTACAAAATATCACATTTATATATTTCCTTATACAATCACCTGATCTCAGCCCCTTCTAAATAAATGCCAATGAATCAAACATACTAGTGATTTTCGCATTCACATAGTTGACAGTCTAGCATAAAAGAAATATGTGCTAAAAAACAAACAAAAACAGCCGGGACCATTTTGGCTCAATGGATAGAGCGTCGGCTTGGGGACTGAGGGGCCCCAGGTTCGATTCCGGTCAAGGGCATGTACCTTGGTTGCGGGCATATCCCCAGTGGGGGGTGTGCAAGAGGCAGCTGATCTATGACTCTCTCTCATCGATGTTTCTAACTCTCTATCTCTCTCCCTTCCTCTCTGTACAAAAATCAATAAAATATATTAAAAACAAAAACAAAAAAAACAAACAGCACAGAAATAAAAAACATGTCTGGATGGAAATTGTGGAATTTTAAACGTGAGAGAAAATGTCCTGTACCAAGTTTTTTGTAACATTAGGTTATGGCCCCCCTCACCTCCAGGAGAATGAAAAATAATAAATGGGTTTGGGGCTACGAAAAAATACTAATGATAGTAGCAGCTAACACCAAGGAAATACTTTACATATGTGAAATAATTTAATCTTCCCGACAACCCTACAATTCTCTCCATTTACCAAGAAGGAAAGTTGAAAGAGGTTAAGAAACTTGCCTAATGCTAAAAGTTCTAAGTAGCAGAGTGGGATTAGGCACCATGGCTCTTAACACTGTTTTGCTGCATATAATACCGCTGTCATTACTAATACAACAACGTGAGGCCCCCTCTCCCCCTCATCTGCGTACATTGATTCATTATTTTTGAACATTCTCACATCTCTATATATTACAAACGAAAAACAAAACAAACAAAACAAAAAGCAAGACTCAGAGAAACATTTCCAAGAGTATGCAAGTATGCCAAAATCGGTTTGGCTCAGTGGATCGAGCATCGGCCTGCGGACTGAAAGGTCCCAGGTTCGATTCCGGTCAAGGGCATATACCTTGGCTGCGGGCACATCCCCAGTAAGGGGTGTGCAAGAGACAGCTGATCGATGCCTCTCTCTCATCGATGTTTCTAACTCTCTATCCCTCTCTCTTCCTCTCTGTAAAAAATCAATAAAATAATTAAAAAAAAAAAAGAGTATGCAAGTAATCTAGCGGCGGAGTACGGGCTGGAGCCCAGAAGGGCACTATCTACTGCACCCCAGAGCCCAGCTCGGGGTCTGACTACTGCGCCTCGGAGTCCAGCTTGAGCTGTCAACCAAGTCACAAGCTCCATCGCGGGAGGGCCCCAGCACCCCCTCACGCCAGCCTCGCGCCTACGAGGCACCCTAGTGCAGAGGCGTTCCATCGCCCGGCACCCTCCGCGGGCCACCCCAGCAGGATAGGGCTCTCACCTGGGGGCAGTCGGGGGACCCTGGCGATCTTGCTTGTGATCTCTGCAGTGAGCACCGCGAAGTCCTGCTCGAAGCCTTCGAAGTCGGACGACATGGCGGCTCCGGAGTGGCGGGCCAGGCCGGAGCCTAGGTCGCGGCAGGGAGAACGCGGAACCGGGGAACGCAGTAGAGGAACCCTGGGACCTGCCCTCGAGATCAGAACGGAGAGCCGGAGACAGCTCCCGGTCCGGCCGCTTCCTGGTTGTCCGTCGCAATCTCGGTCCCCCGGAAACTGGGTCGGTACGCTTTTTTAGTTCCCTTTCTGGCTTCCACATGAACAAAATGCTCTCAGGAAAAGTACTTTAATTAGTGCCTGCAAGAGCCCTTTCAAAACAGTCGTCTTCTAAGGAATCCCTGAAAGATTTTTTTAACCCCTCCACGTCGTGGAATCGGCTCCAGCGCTCCAAGGTACAGGTCATGGGAGCGTGTTTCCGGGAGGAAGTTTGATGCGGCGAACTTCCCGGAAGTGGCTGTCCAGGAGACTGCGCACCGGGCCAGAGCGGGATTCCAGCGGCAAAAGCGCCGGCGGAGACCGACTTGTGGTCTCGGGTCCCGCACTCCAGCCTCCAGCAACCAGAATTTGCGTTCTGCTTGTTCTGGACTGAGGTACTCATGCTGAAGTTACTCGAGAAGGAGAAAATGTGTTCCGGGTAAGCCCAGATCGCTCCGGAAATGCGATGGCCGAGGAGCGGGCACCAAGGACCAGACCGAGGTGGGAGTCAAGGCTGGAAGTGTAACCATCACTTTGGCGGTCTCCGGTCCACCCGAGTTTGGCCAGAATCTCCAGTGCTTTGGGACCAGGCACGCTGACCAGGATGTGCCTACCCCGAGCGAGGATTTCTAAGAGCTCCACTCCATGACACGGGCGGGAAACTGAGGCACGAGGCAGCGGCATCTGTTGCGTGGAAGTCTTTATTACCCTACACCTTAGAGCTTCTTCCTTTGACCCACTGCAGTTTCATCAGGAATACCCGTCTCCAAAGCTCCCTGGATCTCGCTGCGGAGGCAACTTCCTCCTCTTTTGTTCTGAAATATTCTCATTCATGTTCTTTTTTTCATAAACGCCCTCAGTCGTGACTTCACACACAGCTCTCTCCTCTCCTTGCAATGATCTTTGCTTTCACTTTCTCGCTTCCTTACATTTGGCCCAAATAGGCCCTTACGTTGGTGTTTTGGGGCAACCACAGGCAAATAATGTGAACCATGTCTGGCTCATACTTGACTTAATTCGAGACTGGGTAAGAGATAGTTTAGAACTCCAAAGGAAATCGAATGACTTGGTTAAGCTCTTACATTTTACCTGAATCTAATCACCAGGCTCTCCAAGCCAATTTCTTTTCTGTAAGTAAGGAAGCTGGATTAGAATAACTAAATCTCTGCTTCCCAGCTCAAAAATCTTTGTCTCCTAAAGCCATTCACTAGACGTTGGATAATCACAGTCCCCAGACAATCAGGTATCCAGTTTACATGCCATTTAGATTTGAACCCTATTTTGGATAAGATAAAAATAGATGTTTTGGTTGGATGTTTGTTTTTGACATTTGACAAGCTATCATGGTAGTGCACTGGTGAGACGATTTTGTTTAGGTGGTTATCAGAGTTAAGTCTAGTATGTAATAAATTTTTTTACTGAACTTTCTCATTTTGTTTTCTTTAGATTGGGTTTCAACCCAAGATACTGGATTCTCCTAGTTCAGATGAAGAGCTTTGAGCATGTAACAGTGAACATGGCATAATCTGCATTCACATCGCACAGACTGAAGACATGACCGCTAAGGAACACACGTGGACTTGTGGCACATGGATATGTGTGCACAAAAAAAGGAAATCTATACTTCTTTAAAGATAGGAAGACATTCTTCCTCACCAACATGGGTACCTTCTGCTCAGTTATCAAGTTTGAAAATCTCCAAGAATTAAAGAGACTGTGCCACTGGGGGCCCATTATAGCCCTCGGTGTAATAGCAATATGTTCTACGATGGCCATGATTGACTCTGTGTTGTGGTATTGGCCCTTACATACAACTGGAGGAAGCGTGAATTTCATCATGTTGATAAATTGGACTGTCATGATTCTTTATAATTACTTCAATGCCATGTTTGTTGGTCCTGGCTTTGTCCCTCTGGGTTGGAAACCGGTAAGAAAAAGATCCCTTTAGAATTTAGATGATGAATTCTAATGATAACCTAATGATAATTTAGTTTTTGCCTTATCTTCTAACCAATAATGTCTAACACAGACTGCTTTTTTTGCTGTAATAGGGACTAAGTACATTGCAATTACTGGTCATTTAAAGCTTAGATTATTTATTTCATGCCCGTATTGAAATATTGATCTAAATCGGTATTTCCCAGAGCATTTTCATTGAATACTTGTCTTGCATTGAGAAAAAATAAAATGATCATGGAGGGGTGGTGATGAGATCATGGTCATAAGTTTAGGAAACAATGCATATCACATGCACTTATTTATGATTTCACAAGGTAGTTTGGTTCTATAATCTTTTTACATGTAATTAACATTCCCAGAACTGAGAAAAACTTTAGAAACTGTTGGTTTAAGTCATAAAGTTTTAAAATCATTGCAGTGAAGATTGGGAAGTACAGTATGAATCAATTTATGGGTCTTTAAAATTTTTAGAAAGTCTATGCTTATGAATTTCTGTATTCCTTGTTGAGGGACAAACCTTGGTAGCAGAATCTTGAGCCCCCACTCAACTGAGTCAAAATCTGCATTTAGTGAAATCCCAGATGATGTTAAAATTGGAGAAATACTAGTGTACTGTATTAAATAAAGATTTTTCATATTCTGAAAAATCTTGTAACTGAGGAGAAAAACCAAGGCACTTTAGAAAATAAACACAGAGTAGAATATGATGAGTGCTGGTGAAGTCAAAAGGAACTGATCATTTTCATTTGGGAATCTATGGGAAGAGTGGCAATTTCCACAGGAGATGGAAAAAAGGCATTTCAGGATTTCAGGTTGAGCCTATTCAGAAACAATGAACAGATTATGTAGTACAGAGAAGGCTGAAAGAAAGGCAGATTGTGGAAGAACATTATATATTCTCAAACACATGAGAAATTATTAGACCATAGGGAGTTCTTAGAGGTCTTCTAGCAGAGTTCTGACATAATCAGAATTGTGTTATAGGAATATTATGAATATCAACTCTGATGTTTGAATCTCCTACTCTAAATACCTGCCACGTTGCCAGCTACCTTTTCCCCTGAACTTCAATTCTACTAAGATTTTGCATAAGTAGAGCCAACTGTACTCAGTGGTAATGGACTAGGATGGCGCATAGGGAAGAGAAATTAAAAATGACTTCTGGGTAATTGAGAGAGTGATGGTGCTGATACCAGAAACTTTATACTTAAAAATATTTTAACTCAAATGAAAGGATTAAAAGTGTAAGATTCCATCATCCACCACCCCTCATGAAAGAAAATTAAACCATAGGAAAGCATCTCTCTGTATATAAGGCTAATATGCAAAGTGTCCCTTGGGGAGATGGGGGGGGGGGGAGTTCAATCACTCGCTATGACGTGGGCTGACCACCAGGGGGCGGCACAGAATGAAGGAAGGCCCAGATAGGCTCTGATCACCTAGGGACCCTACCCATGCACAAATTTTGTGCACTGAGCCTCTAGTTTATTCATAAGGCTTGTTATTATTTAGGACTAGAGGCCCAATACATGAAATTTGTGCAAGAGTAGGCTTTCCTTTTCCTCCCTCCTCCCCGGATGCCAGCACGCACCCAGGACCCAGGCTTCCCTCTAGCCGCCTGCAGGTACCCGAGACCTGGGCTTTCCTCACAGCCCTGGCTTTGCCCAGAAGGTTGTCTGGTCTAATTAGCATATTACGCTTTTATTATTATAGATTGGTTATCTTATGTGTTTTTTTGTTTATGTTTTGCTGTCAAGGAAAATTCTCAGGATAGTATGTACCTCCAGTATTGTCAAGTCTGCCAAGCATACAAGGCACCTCGGTCACATCACTGTCGAAAGTGTAACAGGTACTGTCTGTCTTTGCCATTCACTTTAGGGACTGATCACTTTGACAAGTGGTCTTTTGTTCTTCCATGTCAATCCTAATTTTATTCTCTGCAAGGTGGCTACTTTATAAAGAATATTGTCAAAATACTTGTGTCCATAATCTCCATATTATTCTTAAATCATCAATTCTGATAATAAATCCCCTTTGTTATATGTGAAAAGACTTTTCTAGAAAAATACAGATTAACTTTGCTTCTTGCCCTGCCAAGAGCATGGTTGAAAGTCATACCTGCAAATTGTTGCCATAGATCACGAATTAACTGTGCTTGTTGACTGTCATCTTGACTAGCTTTTGAATTGTTCTGAGTCTAATTATAGAGGAGAGCTGCTTTTTTCCCCTTTATTTAGTTGACTTTTACTTACACTATACAAATTTAATAAATAATCCAGGTGCCTATTATCACAGTATTTAATATGAAAAACTTGCTGAGAGGAAAACTGAGTCACCATAAAAATATGAAATAAGCTAGAACCTTTAAAAATGAACAGCTATATCCACTTCTTAAGAACTTTTGATGAGAGGATTGAGGTTTAGGGGAAGTGTGGAGACAAATAAAGTTGGCTTGAGGACAGGAAATTTTCTAGCAATAAAAGGGAAGGAAGCTCAGTAAGACTTTGCTTATTACACCACATCTTATTTTCAGTAGTGGCTTGTTTATTAACTCAAGAGTTCCACATCTAAAGGATGAGGACAGGAAGGAAGTTACACACATATCTGCTAGGTCCCATCAACCCCAGTGGAGATTTGTAAGTGATTTTGTTGAGTCTCTATTGTACTTCACTTCAGTCACTGCATTTCAGAGCTGGAGGAAAGCCAGGAACTCTACTCATTTCTTTATAATGAACTACTCAGTGGGCCTCCTAACTTTTTTAAATAAATTCATAAGGAGCAGACATCTTTTCATCAGAAGCTGTTTGAAAACCTGCCCTTTCTTGCCCTGTTTAGAATTTAAAAGAAGTCACTGTTCAGAATTGTTTAAAAACTCATAAAGATTTTTCTTTTTGTTTCATGAATTATAATTTCTTTTTGATTTATGAACATGCTAGATTCCTATTTGCCAGGTCTTTTTTTTTTTTTTTAATCCTTACTTGAAGCTATGTTGTTAATGATTTTAGAGACAAAGGAAAGGAGAGAGAGAAACATCGATGTGAGAGAAAAATATTAGTCGGTTTCTTCCTTTATGTGTCCCAACCAGGGATTGAACCCACAACCTAGGTATGTGCTCTGACCTGGAATAGAACCTGCAACCTTTTTTGGTTTATGGGATGATGCTCTAACCATCTGAGCCACAGCCAGGGCTGCTTGGTCTTCTGAAGACCAAAGTTATTTCAAGTCAACAAGATTTCCTGCCTCATGTTTTATGTCAATGTTTCTTGTAAGGTGTGTGCTGAAGATGGACCATCACTGTCCTTGGATCAACAACTGTTGTGGTTACCAAAATCATGCTTCATTCACACTGTTTCTCCTGTTAGCACCATTGGGCTGTATTCATGCTGCCTTCATTTTTGTTATGACGATGTATACACAGCTTTATAACCGGGTAAGTGAAGATGTTATAAAGTTATTCGTGCCAGATTAAATAGTTTATCAAGATTATTTATGGCGTCCCTTTTGGAAATATGCTTTCTATGATTTAGGTGGGGAAACACATTTTGCTTTACCTCTACATGGATTCCTTTTTTAAAAGCATTAGAACTTAATTTTTAAGACAAGAAAGATTGTTTTTCTCTGAAAATTCACCTTCTTAGCTCTGGTTGAGTTGATAATTATTTTATTCTGTTGGTATATTTATTTACAGTGGAACCTAAGTTCTCAAACTTAATTTATTCCAGAAGACTGTTTGAAAATCAAATCATTTTTTCCCATTAGGAATAATAAATTGAATTAATTTGTTCCAGATCCCCAAATGATTCCCTATTTTAACCTTTCTTATATACAGTACATGTCCAATATAATTCTATTTAATATATATACACTTTAAAACAAAAAAAGACATTAAATATAAATGAAAATTTAACAAAAAAGAAATAAAATGTACAGTAAAAATGAAAACTTAATAATTAGCAACAACAAAAGCAAAAAACACAAAAATATTCACAGCACAATTTCCTAGATGTTTGTAGGGGTAAACTGACTCATACTTTCGCATTCTCTCCTATATTTTTCGCCTGGGAGATGAGTTACTGACCATACAAGTATCCACATGAAAGGGTTGTCAGGTTGAGAATCGAATTGTTTGAAATGGGAGTTGATTAAAAACCAAGGTTTGACTGTATATTGATTCCAGAGAGAAGAAGGGGATAGAGAGGGAGAAACATCAATCAGTTGCTTCCTGTAGGTGCCCTGACCAGGGATCGAACTCCCCACCTTTTGGTGTACGGGATAATGTTCCAACCAACCAAGCCACACCAACCACACCAAATTTACTTACTAAATTTCAAACTTGGTAGCTATAGTAAGAATAATTAGGAGGGCCAAAAAAAGAACAATAAGAAAAGACAACACGAGGTCTTTTCTTTTCCATTCCATCCAGGGGACAAATTATAGTTATTTTGTTCATTTCTAATTCCAGTGCCCAAGAGCAGCAATCACCAACCTTTCTGACCTCACGGAACACCAACGGTCCTTGGACCAATGGTCCTTGGACCAGCGGTTGGCGACCGCTGCCCTAGAATGTGGCTCATGGATAGAATGCCCTTTGCAACAGATTGAGTTGACTTATAGGCAGTTAGTCATGAGATAAAGTTCAGGGGGCACAAATTCAATGCCCTAAAGCAGTCTGCAAAGTAAATGAGGGACACAGCCTTCCTGGGACTGTGGCACACTGGGGAACATGCCTGTCACAGAGAGGACAACCCATATTCCATTTCATCCAGCTTTTCCTGCTTGAGAATCCAGTGATGCTAGATCTTACAAGAAGAAAAAAATCTTTTCTTTTAAATGTGAAGTTTCCTGATTTTTAAATGTGGGCACCTAACTAGGTATTTTAAAACATTTTGCAAGCCAGGCAATACACAGCTGTACGCCACATTTTGCCTGCATTTTGCCAGTTTTTCACCTCTGGTTGTGGAACATGAGGGAAGAAACAGCTGAATCCCAGGCTGTCTTTTGTTGCTGTGGAAGATTACTGTAAATACAGACAAGCAAGCAGGAGAGGGAGACACAGTTACAACTAAGATTAACTTCTAAATTGGTGATCTTAGGGTTGTAAATGCAAATTAATGTTTGCAGGGTATGCCTAACACCTTTTGAGGGTGCAATGAAAAACAACCCCCAAAAAATAATATTTGAGAATAACTAAGAATGACATGGTGTATGAATGAGTCAGTACGAGTTCAAGCCACAGTGTTAATTAAAACAACTGTGTTTGCTTTGGCCACAATTTCAAGCTACCATTTGTTGATCATCATTTTATTCAAATTATTACAGTAGCCTAACCATTTATGGCAACCCAGTTTTTCGAGCATGTGTTGTTGTTTGCAGCTCTCCTTTGGGTGGAACACGGTCAAGATTGATATGAGTGCAGCCCGGAGAGATCCTCTTCCAATCATTCCCTTTGGATTAGCTGCATTTGCTGCCACCTTGTTTGCCTTGGGATTAGCTTTAGGAACAACCATAGCCGTTGGGATGCTGTTTTTTATCCAGGTAAGTTCCTCTGTCACTTCTGGCTAAAAGCTGTCGAGTTATTGGGGCTGCTTGTAATGAGGACAGCTTTGATGTATCACCCAATCCTTTTTCAACTCTTAGCTTAAAATAAGCTGATTTGGGTTATACTTCATGTTTCTACAAGCCTGTGATCAGCTTCTTTGATTATTTTTCCCAATGCTTATAATTACAAATCATGTTAGAAATAAACTAAAATTCTGTAGTGTAAAAACCTATGTAAATGGAATTAGTTATATATAGGAAAATCAAATAGAATTTGGACTGAATATATTTAAGGCAAGCAGAATACCTAGGTTGACTGAAATGAGTCACTTGTAATAAGTAGATTAATAATATATTTAAGGTTTATTAAAATAGTGATGAGATTTTAATAGCAAAATACACTTACGTATTGATTGAATGGATTATGTCAGCGTTTTAGTTCTCTGAAAACTTTATTCAGAAGATAAGCCTTAAAAATCATGAATTATTATTAAAATAATATATTTAGATTTGCTTATGGGTTTTATTTTGAGAGGTGTAGTACAGTGGTTAAGAAAAAGGGTTTTTGAATCAGGTGACCACATTGTTACTAAACCTTTATCTTGGCATCTTCATCTATGGAATGTAGCAATAAACACTATCTCATAGGGTTGTTTGGTATGAAAATAATAATCTTTAATGAACCAAAGTTCCAGTATAAAATTTTGCTGTCTACTATTTAATTTTCAGATAAAAATAATTCTCAGAAACCAAACTTCTATTGAATCATGGATTGAAGAAAAGGTATTTAATGCTTGTTTTCCTCAGTTATCATTAAAGTACTGATTTAACTAATAGACCAGATTAACTAACAAATGCCTAGAAGTGAAAATTTGGCTACCAAATGGCTTCCTTAAGTCATTTGCATGCCATATAAAAGGTAAATATAGAAGACAGTTTGATTCATCCCTGGTTTAATGTGATGAACTATGCTTCTCATACATTCTGAGATGCTGAAAAGTCGTGAGCCACACATTGAATTTGAGTGGTTATTGATTTATACAATTTGGTAAACTCATACATTTTACAGGTTGATAATTTTTTAAATTGAATTAGCATCAGTATCACCTCTGACTGTAAGACGCTTTTCCTTAAAATACTTTCCCTTGATAATAAAGTATTTTAAAGTATCATTTCTAATTGGATTGACATTTGATTAACAGTGTTTTTGCTCATGACCAATCTTATTTAATAAAAGGGTAATGTGCAAATTAACCATCACTCTGTCACAAAGATGGCGGTACCCGTAGCCACAAGATGGTGTCGCCCAGTCCCCTGAGCCCTGCTGTAGTCCCCCAGTCCTGGGGGGGGGGGGGGGGGGGGGGGGAGACGGGAGTGCTGCTGAGAGCAGGCAATGTGAGAGCCCTAGCGCAATGCTTGCTTTGTCTCTGCAGCAATGAGGCAAATGTCCCGCCCCAGCCATGGAGGGCCAATGGGCAGTGCACAAAGTGGCTGGGGCGGAATGCTTGCATCATCGCTGTGGTGATGAGGCAAGCATCCCGCCCCAGCTGCAGCGAGCCTCTGGGCCACGGAGAGCCTTGGGCAGTGGGCTAGGCCCTGCAGAGAGCAGAGAACCATGGGGAGTGGGCCCAACCTGCCAGGGCTCCTGGATTGGAGAGGGTGCAGGTTGGGCTGAGGACCCACCCCCACCCCTCCACCCCTGTGCACAAATTTTGTGCACCAGGCCTCTAGTCTTCTATAATAATAAAAGTGTAATATGCTAATTAGATGGCATCCTTCAGGACAACCTTCCAGACAAAGCCAGGGCTGCAAGGAAGCCCAGGTCAGTGAGGGGGGTTGGGGGGAGGAAGGCCTACTCTTCAACGAATTTCATGCATCGGGCCACTAGTACTCTTTTTAAAGTGCCATGATAAACCTAGGAATTATTTTTAAATTGGTGCTTTGCTGCTGGTTAAAATATTCAAACAAATGATTATATTAAGTTTACAGAAAATTTATTGAAAGTATCACAAACTAAAATTTATACAACAAATTTCAACTGTGTTCACTTATTGTAGGAATAAAGAATCTATCTTTATACCACTAGGTGTCAGTGGAACTTAAGATTCTAAGCCAGTATTGCCTTAAGTCAAAGCTAACAATTTAAATGCCTGGAATATATACAACTCAAATATTTACGTATATGTATAAAATGTACACATAAATGCAAATATAAGTAAGTATACATGTGTAGTGGTATAAAAACCGAAAGATCTGCTAGTTTTTAAAAATAATTTGCATAAAATTATGACTTCCCTGTTACACCTTTCCTGGCCATTCCCACAGATGTCACTGGAACCCAGGATATAGCCATTGCGGTCTAGTGCCCCCACGTAACAGTCCTCCATCCTGAATAAACCCCGCTGCCCCTTAAAGCTGTTAGTCTGCATCTCTGCTCAATACCTGGATTTTTCTGTTCTGCTGAACAGCAGGAGCATTGAGAATTTCTTCTATATGGAATAAAGTTACTAACTTTTAATATGCACTTCTGAATTTATTCCTTAATAAGCTTATTTATTCCTAAATAAGCCCCATCTGTCATTTTGCAAATGTTCTCATAAGAGGTTGGTGTTGTGTGTCAAGTTCTTCCAATATTGTGATAAGTTTGTTTAGCTCTTCTGTGTACACTGACATCACAACAAGGAGGAAGTATTTTCAGAGTGATACGAATTAGAGGAATAAATGTTCTCAGTAGCATATTACTAAAAGCCATTTAAGACATCTTCCATCTTTGTTATCCACAGGCTAAAGATCGAATTCAATATTATCAGCTAGATGAAGTTTTCGTTTTTCCTTATGACACGGGGAGTCGATGGAAGAACTTTAAGCAGGTGTTTACCTGGTCAGGGGTTCCAGAAGGAGATGGACTGGAGTGGCCAGTCAGAGAAGGCTGTCACCAGTACAGCTTAACAGTGAGTGTGTTTGTTCCAATAATCTTTCCTCTTTGTCTCACTTTCTTCCCCTTAACTTTCCCTTAACTCAGATGTCATTTATAGTAAAATTAATACAAAAATTTTTTCAGTATGTGGCAAAATGAATCTAAGTTAATAATCTAAGAATTCTTTGTATCATACCTCTCCTTTTATTTAAATCTCTCCTTAACTCTCCATATCTGTGAGAGAAAGTCCTGATTCCTTAACCTGGTTTTATAATATCTGGCCTAAAACTACCTTCCAACTACTTCCAAACAGGAATCGTCTTTACTAGTCAGCCGAGTCTACTCAATAAACTACTTACAGGTTCCTGCCACTTGATTTGCCTGCTGTTTTTTCTATCTCATGATCTCCTCTCTGTTGGATTTGATTGAAGCTGGTTTCAGTCCCACCTCTTCCCTAGTCCAGCCTCTGCACCCTATACTCCTCTGGACTGGGCACTTAGTCTTATACTCTTGTGTGGTAGCCCATGAGGTCTCATACTTTTATTTAATTATTGTACCTTCTATCTTTAACTTTACTTGTCATGACTCGGACAGAGACTGTGTACTTTCTTTACTTTCCCAACAGCATCCATGAATAAGTGGAGGAAAGGGCGTCAGTGAGACGTAGTGATGATGTTCAGCTGAGACTCTTTTTGATGAATTTTGTGGGCTTCCTACTGCGTCTCTAAAGAACCGTGAATCTGTATGTCATTGTCACCTTGGGTACTGGTCTGGGAGCTCCGAGAGGGCAGAGAGCACATCTCCCTGATCCGGGGCCACAGGGCGTGTCTGCAAATACCCACAGAAAAAGTTAGTGAGAGAATACTGAGAAGAAAGCCCTGCTTCAGCCCCTGTTCTTAGTCATAGGGCCTTCTCTCCAGGCCAAGAAAACACAGGTGGCCTTTTAATTGTCAGCAGCTAAGAGATGCTGGGAAATTGAGAGTTTGTCATGAACCTCTGATATCAACATTGAGATAAGACGCTTTTTATTTTTGTATCTTCCAGATAGAGCAGTTGAAACAAAAAGCGGATAAAAGAGTAAGAAGTGTAAGTAATTATTTTGCAATAATATCAATTTTTTTCTTTTTCTTTTTTTTTTTTTTTTTTTTTGGTTAGGCTTATAGTTTTAAAATTGCCTTTGCGTAGCTGACAACTGTTGGCTTTTATTAAATAATATTTCTTAAAATGTTTGTTGAAATTTAATGCAACTCACTTTTGTTTTCATTTAGATAGTTTGCCCTGGAGGTTTGGAGGGAATTTAGTCAGTTTATATTGCCAATAGGAAAATAATGTGCCTCAATATAGCGTGCTAGTACGAAACCCATCCTTACAGTTATGCTGTATAATATGATGGCCACTGGTCACGAATGAAGTAAAATAACAAATGCAGTCCCTTGGTTGCACCAGCTACATTAGAAGTGCTTAGTAGCTGCATGTGGCTGCTGGCTCCCACACTGGACACCACAGACAGGGAACAAGGCCATTGCTGCAGGAAGTCCGATGGGTCGGCTCTCTCTAGGGTTAGTTCTCAGCTGTGCGCTTGAAATGAAGGGGAAGCAAAGCCTTGAGAACTAGAAACGTCAGCTGCCTCCTCTGGGGGAACAGGGTGGGTAGCAAGTTGGGAGGGAAAGACTTGTCACCTGATATTCTGGGTCTACCTTTAACAGTTAAAATTCGAACTTGAGAAAGCACAGATGATGAGTAAAGGTTAAATTGTTCTCCTGCTCACTGGTGACAGGTTCGCTATAAAGTCATAGAAGATTACAGTGGTGCCTGCTGCCCTTTGAATAAAGGAATCAAGACCTTCTTCACGAGCCCCTGCACGGAAGAACCTCGGATACGGCTGCAGAAAGGGGAGTTCATTTTGGCCACGAGAGGGTTACGGTGAGTGGCAGAAAGCACTGTGCTGCCTCTTTCATGACAAAATTGACCTAAAAAAGTAACTTGAATCTTTTAAATATTTCAGATACTGGTTGTATGGAGACAAAATTCTTGATGATTCCTTTATAGAAGGTATGAAAATGGAAGGACAAGACTGCTGGCAATAATTTCAGATGTCCCAGGAATAACTTTATTAAACAATCCCATATCGCATGTATTAAGGGAACTAAAGAGAAGAGCACGTCAATCACTAAACAACAGAAAGAAGCTCCTTGTATTACGTTAGTTCTCCATAGCCCTGCGATTTATTGGGTCTTTTAAATGACAGCTAACATTGGAACTCATGCCTAACTGTGGAACAGGCACTTCCCATCAGTCCTCTGCGGTCAGCATGATCCCTTACACTTTATTGACAAGGGAACTGAAGTAGAGCCAAGCTATCTGGCTCCAGAGCCTGTGTGCCAGACCCCTAGGCCATGTGCTCCTCCCCTCCTACCCCCTTTTTTTTTAAATACATTTTTTATTGATTTTAGGGAGAGAGGAAGGGAGTGGGAGAGAGGTAGAAACATCTATTGGCTGCCTCCTACGTGCCCCCTACTGGGGATCAAGCCTGAAATCAGGGCCTGTGTCCTAACTGGGAATTGATCCAGTGACCTCTTGGTTCATGGGTTGACACTCAACCACTGAGTCACACTGGCCGGGCACTCCCACTTTGAATGAACATCCCCATAGTATCTGCCCACACCCCCCCCCTCCCCCCCCCCACACACACAGTGCCTCTCTCACTCTAAACTTTATGTACCAGAGTGGTTAACATTTGTTAACATTAATGAATCTACATTCACACATTCAAATTGCTCCCTTTTACTACTAGAGTAAAGATTAACCTAGGATGCTCTTTTAAAAACACTGGGTTAAACATAAATTAATCCCCAATGACAGCTTAGGCAACCTTGATAAAGACATTTATATGTTAGTAAACGTCTAAAAAGGAAATTCACAAAGGCTAAGGAAGATAGACCCCTGACATAAGTGGAGTGTGACAATTTGCCAAAAACACCCTGCGATCACACATGGGTAACTGAATGCCCATATTGAGAAGTTCCCCTCAACTCCCTCTAGGGGCTGTTCTGAACCACATTAGCTCCTTTCCCAAATAATAATAGAATTGGGAAAATACCTGGTTTCTAGTTTGTTAGGAGCAAGCAGTTAAAAGCCTTATTTTTTCCCCACTCAAACTATGCTTATAAAAGACGATAAAGAGGGGAAAATGTAAAGTCTAGTAGCTTATTAATTTGAAGTACAGGACTTAGGGGTCTTGGTAAAGTCATTGCAGTGTACCCGACTATTTCACACCAATTTAATTTTCTCTCTCAGGTGTCTCAAGAATCAGAGGGTGGTTCCCTCGAAACTGCGTGGAGAAGTGTCCCTGTGATGCTGAGACAGAGCAAGCCCCAGAGGGCGAGAAGAAGAACAGATAGCCACGGTTAAAATCCAGCGATTCTTTTAAGTCCGCCCCATTACTTGAAAATTGTGCATATCACTACAGAATTATGCAATGAGCCTACTCTGGTTAAGGTGTTCTTTCCTCAAAGGTGCCCTAGTGCCATGATCCAACTATTGTTATAAACATTTTGAAATGGAGAAGCCATTCTGCATATGCCTTTGAATTCTGCCCCTCTTGGCCACCTCTTCCTCGCCCCAAAAGGAAAAAACGCTTCACCCACGTAAGTCCGTTGCATCTTCTCTTGGGTATTCTACGCACTGCACACGATGGACCTCACTTGAAGATATCGTTCCCCCTTTCCTGGAGGATCTGCATGTGATGCTTCTGTCCCGTTTCCCCCTCAGTTGGTATTTCTTACGTAATATTCTACATACTATAGAACTTAATTTGTCAGATTCAATCTAAGATGAGCTCAGATTTTGTTACCTGTCTTTTAATAATGCTTATTTTGTCAAATCAAATAAAGATCAATGGGTGTTCTCTATAAATCATAGTTTTTACTTAAAACATCTTTTTCCTTTTCGATGACTGAAAACGTTCGTCTTAGTTCCTTATAGAAAAACTGCTTTACCATCCTGTCCAACATTGGCATCTTTACATTTTCATTTTTATTATTCATCTTCACCCAAGGATATTTTTCCCGTTGACTTTTAGAGAGAGTGGAAGTGAAGGGAGGGGGGATGAGAGAAAGAGAAACATCAATTGGTTGCCTCTTGCATGTGCCCCAGCATCGGCCAGGGATTGAACCTGCAACCTGGGTACTTGCCCTTTACTGGGAATCAAACCCATGACCCTTTGCTGCTAGGGCTCCTGCTCCAAACACTGAACACTACCAGCCATGGCAAAAATAATTGGCATCTGTAATCATGAGTATTAAGATATACATCTTTGCCTCTGTAAGTAAACCCCATTAATGGCCTGTTGTGATCACAGCATTCTAGGACACTTTCAGCTGGGTGATATTGAACTGCTCATGTACACTTGATTCTCAAAATCTGAAGCTTATGAACATGGTAAGAATGCTGCTGGACTTGTCACTTGTTTTGTTGTTCTCAGCTATGGAGTAAGAAGGCCTGGTCCTCTCTGTAGTGGTTGCCTTCAGTAGTTAACGTGGTTGCATATAGAATCACCTGTGCACTTAACGTGGTTGCATATAGAATCACCTGTGCACCTCTAGATAGTAGGTGTATCTAAACACATGAGTGGAATGACAGAAGTCACCTATTTCATTATTCTTTCCAAGGCAGGGAACTAGAGCTCTGCAGGACGGGCTTTTAACAGTTAACAATAAGGGAAGGGCACTTGGAAATTCAGCAGTTATTGAAACAAACTGCCCCATTCTAGTGAGGGGTAGGGAGGGAGACAAGTCAAAGACAGAGTGTCAGATGGAGTCATGTATGTGAAGGTGGCAGGTGGGAGGGTCTGATGGAAGTGACAGTTGAAACAAATGACAGGACAAGTCATGTGCCTCTGGGAAGTCCCTCAGTTTAGGCAGAGATGACAAGAACTGCAGGCTGGAATGTGCCTGGCCCATTTGAGGGACAGGACAGCAGTCTGCATGTGAGTGTAGGAATGAGCGAGGGTGGTATGAGGAGGTCAGAAGATAATAGGGGCTAGACATGGTGGGACCTGAAAGGTAATTCCTGCCTTCCCTTTGGTGACTGAAGACTAGATATTTCTTCAACTTTTCTGAGCTGAGTGTAGAAAAACCAGGGATGGCCCGGGCCAGTGTGGCTCAGAGGTTGAGTATTGACCTAAGAACCAGAAGGTCACAGTTCAATTCCTGGTCAGGGCTCATGCCCCAGTTTCAGGCTAGATTCCCAGTGTGGGATGTGCAGGAGGCAGCTGGGAAATGATTCTCATTATTGATGTTTCTATCCCTTCTTCCCCCTTCCTCTCAGAAATCAATAAACATTAAAAAAGAAAAAAGGAGAAGGACCTCTTTTCACTCCAGTTAGAGGCCAGAAAGAAACATTCAAGATTAGAGTATGACAAAGACGGTAAAGGAAAAAACAAATCAGGCTCATTTGGAGTTAGGCCTCGACTGTCACTTGTTTTGTTGTTCGCAGCTATGGAGTAAGAAGGCCTGGTCCTCTCTGTAGTGGTTGCCTTCAGTAGTTAACGTGGTTGCATATAGAATCACCTGTGCACCTTTTAAAACTCCCAGAGCCATGTCTGTGTCCCAGACCATTTCAGTCAGCTCCTTGGGGTAACACCAGGAGTGGTATCTTTCTAAACTCCCAGGTAATTCAGGTGGGCGGCCATGTTTGAGAACCACCAGCTCACATGCATGTTCAGTCATCCTTGTTTAAGGCTGATTCTCATCATGGTCCATGAGGAAATACACACCTCCACGTAAGTATCCACAATAGTTTATTAATTAAAGACTTTACAAATGGAAGCAACACATGTTGTCTGGGGGTGAACCAGAGCAGGAGCTGGAGTTCCCGGGGAAAGAGGCCAGTGGGTCTCCTCTCAGAGGAGAAGCCTGCTGGGCAGGCCGGTCTGTTCCCAGTTCAGGAGGTTTTTCCTCGGTGCTCTACTTCGTCTGCTGGAAAGTGCACTTAACATTGTTCCAGCTCCTTCCCCCACAGCTTCCAGCTCAGCAGCAAACTGTAAGGGACAGATTTCGTCACCAGGCATGTCCCTGAACATAACACCTGAACATTCTTTCGGACATGTCATAGGCCCAATTTTTCATTCTCCCAAGTCAGACAGCTAGAGAGGCTCAGAAATCTTTAGTACAAACAAACACTAAGTACATGGAAGAAATCTATCTTTCAGAGTGAGAGCCATGGTAGGTCAAGACTTGATTGAAAAGTCTAAAGGTTTTGTGGAGTAGTTAGAAAATGAATTACGAAACAGCTTTGGAGAACTTAAGCCTCTCCCGAGCATGGGAAAGCCTGTGTGGGGACTGTTGACAGTTCAGTTTTACTGAAAGAAGTCACATAAGGTCATGTACACAGGCTGGAGATCGTGAGGAAGGGGCAAAGACTATAAAAAGACTTTGAAGAAAGGCATGTTGAAAACCTGAGCTGCATTATAAGTCTCTCAATGCTGTTTTTTAAAGCCCCAAAACTATAGTTATAATTTAGTAGGTAAAACAACAGGCAGCAGAAAAGACAATGAAGGTAAGGCTAGTTTTTAATCCATGTTCCCACAAGGCAGGCTCCCTCAGAGCCCCTCCCAGCCATCAGTACCTTAACCTATTCCTGCATGTTCTCATACAGGCTGTTGATTTGGGTCTGAAAATACTTGGAAAGCTCTCCACGCTTTGCTTTCAATGTTGGTGTCAAGAGTCCGTTTTCAATGGAAAAGGGTTCTGGGTGAAGATAGATGCTTTTGACCTGGAAGAGAACATGCACACACATGCACATTTATTAGTGATTTGGATTTTTCTGTAGAGCCCCTAAGTGCTATGTAAAGAAACTTTCAGAATATTTCACCTTATTTAAAAAAAAAAAAAAATGGAGTTGCCAAAACCGGTTTGGCTCAATGGATAGAGCTTCGGCTTAGGGACTGAAGGGACCCAGGGCATGTACATTGGTTGCGGGCACATCCCCAGTAGGGGGTGTGCAAGAGGCAGCTGATCCATGATTCTCTCTCATTGATGTTTCTAACTCTCTATCCCTCTCTCTTCCTCTCTGTAAAACATCAATAAAATATTTTTAAAAAACAAACAAAAAAACTTCCTGAATGACTTGAGAGACCAGGAGAACATCGGTAGTACATACCTGTTCAAAGGACTTGAGGCCACCTTCTTTCCCAATTTTCTGCAAGTCTTCTAAAATGGCTTGCTTTACAACCTAAGAATGTGAAACATGGCTTAAAGCATGGCTGTTTGAAAATGCCTACATGAAATGACTCAAAATTCCTACAAGTGTTTGTTGGGGATATAAGCAGGATATGGGAGTACGTACAAGCACAATTCATGCTTAATATTTTCAAAAGGGAAATCTGAATTGTAAAGAGGTTTTCTCTGAATGGCGTTTTTAAATTTTCTATTTTCCAATTCCCTCCCGCATATATAACATCTATACTAATAAAAAGGTAGTATATTAATTAGTTTGGGTAGACTGGACATCTTCCGGACAAAGCCATGGTAGTGAGGGCCAAGGCAGAGGTGTTTAGGGGTGATCAGGCTGGCAGGCAGGTGAGCGGTTAGAATCCAGTGGTTCCGGATTGGAGAGCGTGCAGGCTGGGCTGAGGGACCCTCCCCCTTCCCCATGCACAAATTTTGTGCTCTGGGCCTCTAGTATTACTATAAAAATAGTATTTGTTATTTTTAAACTTCCCATCCTATCCTCCAATCTAATAAAATCAATGTTTAATATTCAACCACCTGCCACAGATTCAGGAAGAGCCTATTCTTCCAGACAGAAGGCTCTGGGAACTCATGGGTGCCCAAGCTGGTGGGACTCCCCTCTCCTGCCATGGGCCCCAGGGAGGTGCATAAAGTTTTGCTACATGAGACTTACTTGGTTTTGGCACAGTTCTTCAAAGGAGCCTTTAACCCCAAGTTTGGCTGCAAATGTGGGGAGCACTTCTGAATCAGGAACCACCACTGCTACTAAGGATGACTATGAAGAGAAAACAAGGCCAATGAGAATTATTATTATCAGCGGTTTCCTGGTGGCTAGTGAAGGCAGGGTCATATCTTTGAAACAGACATTTCCCAAGATCTCTGATGCAGAATTAGCGTCCTACTCTTTCCTCACCAGATAGCTCAAACTCTTCTGGAACTCAAACCCCATTTTCCCTTTACAAAAAATATTCTACTCAGATTTGATTGATTAAAAAGAAATAGTGTTTCAACATTATGCTTAAAGCATCTCTGGCCGTATCAACCCTCTCCCACTCTCCAAAAGCTAAGTTTAAGCCTTGTGTATATGACACAGTTTATATCAAAGGACTTCTATTCCACTTGGGTTTCCTTTTACTGAGTGGCTACCCTTTAAGTCTATCTGTTTATCAATCCTACAGACTTGTTTACAGAATTCATCCTAGTTTCAAAAAAATTAATTGCCTCTATATTGCCTTATTTTGAGATTTGGAATATGGCTTGATTGCTTTAGTCCTACAAGTTTATATCTTCTCATCCTAAACCCACCGAAACAGAATTCTGGTAGCCACCAGGATCAGCATGATCTGTGCCCAGAAAGGGCTATTGTTAAAACAACAGGTTACCCGTAAGCTCTCCCCATGTACAAAAATCTGCTGCACTGGTGCACTCCTGCTGTACACGTTTTCTATCTTCTCGGGGGCGATGTATTCTCCTTGGGCCAGCTTAAAAATGTTCTTCTTACGGTCAGTGATCTTCAGAGTTCCATTCTATAGGAGACAGAGAGAAGACAGTGTCAGTGTTTCTGAGTTCCCTGTGGGTGGTGTCCATGGAGAAGGTGGTGAAATCCTTCTTTAAACTTGGCTTCTCCGGAGACTTTTGAGCCATCTTTCACTTCTCATTCTTGGCTTTGAGGAAAGGGTAGGGAAGCAGCTTCCAGTAAGAACCTGTCTGTATTGTATGTCTCTTTGGAGGGTCAATGGGAACCCTGAGAAAAAGACCCAGGACTTGCTGCCAAAGAAATTTTGTAGCCATAAATGTCCAATAATGTAATGCCCAATTACTCCATTTCCAGCACTCCCAGAAATAGGGAAGGAAGAATCTTTTATTAAGAATTTGGTGCCCTAGCTGGTTTAGCTCAGTGGATAGGGCATCGGCCTGAGGACTGAAGGGTCCCAGGTTCGATTCTGGCCCAGGGCACATGCCCGGGTTGCAGGCTCGATCCCCTATTAGGGGTGTGTAGGAGGCATCCAATCAATGATTCCTTGTCATCATTGATGTTTCTCTCTTTCCCTCTCCCTTCTTCTCTGAAATCAATATAAATACATTACAAAAAAAAGAAGAGAATTTGGAATAAGTTAGATCTCCCCCTCCTGGACTCCTTTTTCTGTATCCCTCCTGTTAGATCCAGGAGCAAGCTAAACAGCTCTACTGTGCTAATGCTAATCAACAAGTCAATAATTGTTAATACAGAAGTAGGACCTGGAGGGCTCTCTCCCCAGCCACTAGGGGTCATTTGACAGTCTCTGAGCTCATTGGTCTGAGGAGCTTAGGCTCTTAGGGATTTGAATTACAAAACTGGGACAAGTGTTAAATACAATCCACATGATCACACCTTAAGTAGGGCAGTAGACTGAACCAGCCCTGGAACCATCAACAAGGCTGCCTCAAGAAATAAGCCAACAATCCAGCCTAACAGACATTATCTGAAAGTGATTAATAAGGCTAAGCCCTTTATAACTCCAGTTTGGGGATGAATATATTCCCACATTTTATGCTTATTAGAGCAGAGAACTCATACAGAAGCAGATAAGTTAGCACGATACGACTAGACCCAAATCTATGAAAGTCATCACCAGAACCAGTGTTCTCAGAGTGTTCACCAAACGTTCTGTGACTATCACTTAAATCTTGAGACTATTGATCCAGAAAGAAGTTTCATATCTGGTTACATCTCCACTCCCCCAGCACATAGTAGGCACCTTTTCAGAGGGGACCTTGGAAAAAATCCCCTACAGGGCTCCTAAGTCTCCATCACAATTATGCAATTATTTCCTCTCTTCTTAGAAAAACAGATGGGGTTGGCAGAGACTACTTATCTTTGCTTGTTAAAAAGCTTTAAAAAACGGAGCCATATATTTCACAGAGAGAGGCAGTGAAGGTCACTGAGAGGTAAGACCTCACCTCTGCACATGCCTCGTTTAGAAATCTTGCCCCCTTGTTTTGATGTCTCTACATATTAGGTGGAAAGAAATGAATGTAACCCTTTCAAACGTATAAAAGGCAAATGGTGTGAGCCCATGGAGTTATCAAATCACAACTTTTTTTCAATAAAATTTTTTTTAAAAGTAGCAAAAAGAAAACACAGACTACTACACCCCTTTCCTGGAAAAGTCAACTAATTTTCCTTTGGCTGCAAACAAATCTATTCCAGGATAGATTTGTTTGCAGCCAAAGTCACAGGAGTCATGCCAACTCAGCTGATCATGCCACTTGCATCTCTGCCTAGCTTGTCGATAAGCAAGTGGTTCTCCCCAGTTCTGCAGCCTATGCTCCCCAAAGTTATGGAGAATCACCCACCGGGAGCCAGCGACCAATATCTCCTGTGTGAAGCCAGCCATCTTTGTCCAGGGCTTCCGCCGTCTTCTCGGGGTCCTTCAGGTATCCTTTGAACACATTGACACCCTTGATGCAGATCTGCAGGTAAGAAGGTACAAGTGATGGCAATGGCAGAGGCTACTACTCCAGGCCTGGATACTTGAGCCAACACCTGTTCCCACTCTTATATCATCTGATGGTTTCAACTACCGTGTGAAGAGCACTCAATTGCAATCCCCAGTGTGGTGGATAGGAAAGTGGGGTTCAGAAACATTGAATGCCTTGCTCCAGATCTCAAATGAATCTAACCCACTCCTGTTCACAATGGGGTGCTCTCCTTGATACAAATATCCCCACCTTGAATGCCTTGCCATGACTACTGGGAGCAACCCACGCACCTCTCCTTCACCGTTCACTGAGAAGTAGTTCATGTCTGGCACATCTTCCAGCTTCACATGATTGCAAGCCAGGGGAACTCCAACATGACCTAGAACACACCACATTGAGTCAGCTGGGAAACTGTAGAACGGTGATCATTCCAGGAATATTTTAGAGATACTTACGGGTTGACTCTAAAAGTGAAAAGACTGAAAAATCATCTGGCCTGGACAGAAACCCAAGTTGGCTTTTGCCACATTCATCTAAACCCGTAAGTCCAAGCTCAATTAAAATCCTTCTCCCAATCACTGCCCCTCCTGCCTAGCAGACAGAGAACCTACCTGGTTTCCAGTCCCCGGGTAATGTAAATGTACAGCCAGCAGTGCATTCTGTTTGACCATAAGCTTCAAACACCTGGGAAAACCAGAGAAGGGCTTTGAGAGCAACTCAAGATAAAGCAGGAGCTGGCCATGCTTTAAAAAAGGGGAAAAGCGAGGCCTCTGAGGGTTGGAGGTCACTTCATGTCATTATACCTTGATTCACGTCTGACCTGGTAAGTCATCACAACTCAGGGCTTCACTCAAAAACCAAAGGTCCAGAAATAGACCAATGTATGGAAACTTGTACTGTACTTTGGGAAATGTGGCATTTCAAGTCGATGAAGAAATGATAGTTTTTTAATAGAAGAAAAGACTAAGAAAATATTTCTAAAACAACAAAAATGAATATTATTACTATCTGAAGGACTTAGAAAACAATGTGAAGGAGAACCAAATTATCCTGTGCCTATTTTTCTGTAAGGAAGTGATAGAATGATGTATGGAAGAAATACAGGTGCCAATAAGTAACAGAAAAGAATGTTCAGTATGAAGGGTTTTCATGTATATGATGGGCTAGGATTTAAATGATTGGCAAAGGCTTTCACTGTAAAAAATGTGTGAACATAAGACCTCATGTATTATTTGCAGAAAGGAATAAAGACACACACATAAACACAAGACCTTACTAAAGGGAAGTTTTGATAACCCCTACTTGCCAGGATTAGTCCCCAAATTGATAATTGCATTCAATACCGACGAATATTCAGGTATCCTTATCACTTCATTGATTATAATAGCAAAAAGAAAAGGTAAGTAACTCTTGTCCATCAATAGGAGACTAGTTACTTAGGTATAGTCACCTAAGTAACTATTCCAAAACCATTAAATAATGTAGATTTTTTTTTTGACAAAGAACAATATCAATAGGGCACTGTTTAACAAGTATGTTAGAACCCTGATGCCCTTTATGTAGGTTTCCATATGCATAAGAGATGATTAGACAGATATTTTCTTCTGATTTTGAGATTTTTTTTGAGGGTGGGTTGTCTCTTTGGTACTTTTCAGTTGTGTTTTCAATTGTATTAAACAGCCTTATTTGTTGCAAAAGTTACATAAGCTATCTTCAAAGGTGCTAGGCTTACCGGACATCCCATGGCCGCTCGGAGGAACTCCAAGACAGGAGAGGAGATGGGGGCAGCGCCAGTGACCATGATGCGCACCTTCCCGCCCAGGCTCTCCTGTTCAGTAGAAACAAAAACACCCGCTGAAGCCTCTTCCCTTGGCTTCATTTTCCTCCAATGCAAGTTGGGTTGAACAACCCTAACCCGCCCACTAGTGTTAGGAGAATTAAACTTGGTAACTTACAAAGCACTTAGAATAGGGCCTGGCACTGTGGGAAGGCACTTCAAGTGTTAACTATTGTCACCACTATCCACTATAGCTGGGACCAGATCTCCATTTTTAAGATTTTCTCTTATAATTTGTATTTTTGGACCCTTCAAATGACTTATAATCTAAACAGGCCACCTTAAAAATATATATGAGAAAGGCTGAAGCCGGTTTGGCTCAGTGGATAGAGCGTTGGCCTGCGAACTGGAAGGTCCCAGGTTCGATTCCGGTCAAGGGCATGTACCTTGGTTGCGGGTACATCCCCGGTGGGGGGTGTGCAGGAGGCAGCTGATCGATGACTCTTTCTCATCGATGTTTCTAACTCTCTATCCCTCTCTCCTCCTCTCTGTGAAAAATCAATAAAACATATTTAAATATATATATATGAAAGTGCTAGAACCTAAATACTAGTCATTTTCTGAACTTGGACCTATTCCCTTTAGTAACAAACAAGGTTGTCCAGGAGAGATCTCATATGGTAAGTGAATACAGAATGTAAGCAAGGATCTCCAGTTAAAGAGATGCTTGTCCATCAACCTACCTGGATCTTTCTAAAGATGAGCTTGTCCCACAAACTGTCACGTCTGATGATACCCCTTTTCACCTCGCCGAATTTACTGGAAATAGCCATTTTCAACATGAACTTCTTCAAGGGTGTCTTGGCTGAATTTTGAACCTGCAGGGTGAAAACTCCTTTTAGTTGGAAACCCAGGAGAGACACTTACCAAAGCTTATCTGTGAGCAAGAGATGTTGCCCTTTTCCTTCATAAGGAAGCAGCTCTCATAATAATAAAGAGCCCAAAGAATTATGTCCACATATAATTCAGAGCTCCAGTTCCTCCGGATACCTTGGCAAACAACTATAGCAACTGACATAATTATGTCTTCAAAAGATGGTCAGCACCAATCTACAAAGTCACTTGGAACTACTAAGTAATAACCAGCTCAATGGGCAGCACCCTGAGGATTTTTTGCTTTAGTAGGTCAAATAAGGTCCCAGGAATCTGATTGTTTAAACAAGCACCACCTCTCACCTGCCCCCATGTTCCCCCTCCTGTCCCATACACTAAACTTGGAGAAATACCACTTTCTCTGTAACTGAAGTTTCCTTAGCCACAGCACACAAAACCTAACAAACTTTTCTACTTAGATATTTCTTACATGTGGACTTACTGCTGACACTGTTTTTCAGACTCACATGCTTTTCCTAGTATCCCTGACTCTGGCTTCATCATGACTCTATAATCCACCAATCACCCTCCTGCCCAAGAAGAGCTTCTCCAGTTCAACCCAAATAAAGTGCCCATGTTTACAATACTACATCCTGGACTCCGTGTTCTGGCTTTTGAGACAATATCCTACTGGAAGTCAGGTTCAAGGAAATCAAAGTTCTTTTCCAGTTCAAAATTCAAAGCTGACTCTCATCCACCTTCTGTATTTACACTCCCATTTCTGGGCCTCCAGCCAAACAGAACTGCTCATCCCCACCCTTAATACTAACTGTGCTCAAGGCTCTGGGAATCTAGATACTCATGCCTGTACCATTATTTTGTCAGCATTTCACCAGCTTTCTCCAAGACCTACACAAAAATGCTGCCTGCATCATGTTATTCCTGACACCTCTCTCAGCCTTAAAAAAAAAAAAAATCTTTTCTCAACTTTTATAAGACTCCCCCTAACAAATCATGGACAAAGAGCTGGAATTTAGACTCTAATAAAGTCTTTCATTTTTTTTAATGGAAATGTATATACCTTTATTTATTTTTGCTGTTTAAAGTATTACATATAGTGTTACATATGTCTCCTTTTTCCCCCATTGACCTGCCCCTGGCCACTCTCATTTCCTGGCACATGCCCTTACCCCTCTAATAAAGTTTTGCATTATTAAAATAAGTCCCGGAAGAGAACTGTGTGTTACTACCATATTATAAAATAACCCTCTCTCAAAAATTGAAAAAAAAAATCCCAACCAACAAATGAACAAAAATTATAACAACCAAATCTAATAATCTCATAGCATGATGAGGAGCTATTAGAATTGTTAGCAAGTCTGATAGAAATTAGGGCTCTCAATGTCTAGGGATCATCTGTGTACCAGCATGCTGCCTGTCCTATAACCGGGGCCCCCAGATAACACCTGATGAGATTCACAAGCATGAAGGGGAGTGCTAGGATCTGAGGGGTGGGGCCAAACAGGTGGAGAATGGCATTGTGTTATTTCCTTAAGGCTCTCATGTCTATGGAGGTATGAGGTCAAGAGCCTCGGTGCTGTTATTATATTGCCTGGGTTCAAATTCCAGTTCTAAGAGCTCTTTGGAGAAAGCAATCAAACCAAGACTTGAGTAGGAATGATACAAAATGAGTCCGAGTCATCTTATGCTAGGAATCAACAAAGCTATTAAAAACCACTCAGGTCCTGTCAAAGGACATATGAACAACATGATGGGGCTCCCAACTTCCAAAATGGACTCCTGACTTCCAAAATAGGAAAATTTGAACACTGAGAAGAATGAGTGAAATAGATTAAACATACAAATATGCAAATCACCAGTTCTTAATATTACAAAGAAAATAATCTCCTTGGTCAGATTTAAAGATCACTGGGGCACCAATTCAGCATTCTTAAGATTGGCAGATAAAAGAATGAAATGTTTGTTGTGCCATTATGGGAGCATAGTAGCTAATGAATGAAAGAGAAATGATTGAATTAGAAAACTACCATTTTGCAATCCCTAATGAAAAATAGAGCATTGATAAATGACAGCTAAAATAATTATGTCGCAGCTCTAGCCAGTTTGGCTGAGTGGATAGATTGTTGGCCTATGGACTCAAGGGTCCCAGGTTCAATTTCAGACAAGGGCACATGACGGGGTTTCGGGCTCAATTCCCAGAAGGGGGTGTGTGGAGGCATCCAATCAATGATTCTTTCTCATCACTGATGTTTCTATCTCTCTCTCCCTCTCCTTTTCTCTCTGAAGTCAATAAAAATACATTTAAAAAATAAAATAAAACCATTATGTGACAATTTGATTCTGGCCCGAACCCATAATTAGCAGTGACTCTGAGCAAGTTATTAAACTCCTGAGGCTCAGTCTCTCACCTATAAGTTAAGGATATTATTGGTAAGTGTAGGCCTCATGTGCTTTTGTGAGGATAAAATGCATGTGCTATGAAATCAGAGTCTCTGAACTGAGCTCTTTCTCCAGATCAGGTCCAAGTGGTCTCACCCAGAGGAAAGAGTTTCTTTCAAACTGCATTTATAAATACGGCCGTAAGTAGATGTTTGTGAGGAATGGGAGGCAATGGTGTAAGTGGACAAATTCTTAACAACGTAGAGTCCCTAAGAGCCTCAGTCAGGCCTGAGCCAGAGAGTTCGTTCGCCCCATGCTCAGCCCGGCAGAAGCAAGGCCAGTACCTTATCATAGATCCTGTTGAGGAGCCGAGGCACCACGGGAAACAATGTGGGCTTTAGCGTCTTCATGTCATCTGGCAGCAATCGAATGTCTCCCTGGAAGAACCCAACTCTGGCTCCACAGGAGTACACGACCATCTGAAACCAACACCGGAGAAAGAGCTCAGAGTCAAAGGACCCCTTCAGGTGGGGCCCATCTTCAAGAGACTGTCACAAGAGACTTGGCCACTGGTGATGCCTCCTAGTCTATGGCACTAAGAGACTAATCGTGAGACTGTCCTATAATTATGAGACTCTCTTGATTTCAGAAATGTTGAAGTGTGAAAGAAAAGAAAAGAAAAGAAAAGAAAAGAAAAGAAAAGAAAAGAAAAGAAAAGAAAAGAAAAGAAAAGAAAAGAAAAGAAAAGAAAAGAAAAGAAAAGGAAAGAAAAGGAAAGGAAAGAAAAGGAAAGGAAAGAAAAGGAAAGGAAAGAAAAGGAAAGGAAAGAAAAGGAAAGGAAAGATGCTTATTAGCTCTTGCTGGTTTGGCTCAGTGGAAAGAACATCAGCCTGGGGACTGAAGGATCCTGAGTTTGGTTACAGTCAAGGGCAGGTACCTAGGTTGCAGGCTTGATCCCCAGCCCTGGCTGGGGCATGTGCAAAGGCAACCAATTGGATGTGTCTCTCTAAATGTTTCTTTCTCTCTCCCTTCCACTCTCTCTAAAAACCAATGGAAAAATATTCTCAAGTAAGGATTGAAAAAAAATATGCTTATTAGAATTGATATTTTATGAATCAGATATCAGCACGTTAGTCCAAGAAACTGGTTCTCTCCTTCATTATTTCATGCATTAATAGTATTTTTAAAAATCTTTAAGAATAGGGCTCACAGCCAAAGGATCAGAGAGAGGATTTCCCATTCCTACCACCACCTGTGCTTTTGAAAGACCAGCATTGATTGTATCCTCAAATCGGCTTCAGCCTGAACAGCCCAGAGTCCACTCATAGAGGGGCAGCTCTCCTCCAGGGCACAACACCCTGAACAATCCTGCCTTGGACATCTCACCTGGATCAAATGCTTCTTCCCTGCCCCGCTGTGAGGAACTTCCTTTTCTCTAATCCTTGATATTTTAAAAACTTGAGACCAAAATAAAATTAGAAAAAAGAAAAACATCTCTTATCCCAGGTCAGAATGAAGAGTTGATGGTAAGCTCCTGGCTCTGACCTTGCTTGACTCGCAGTCACCGTGTGAAGGCAGAAGCAAGGTGAGCTCCAGTGGACACACACAGACTTAGTGGAGAAAGGTACCACAGGGAGGCAGGGAAATGCTGGGATTTAGACTTAGCTAGCCCCACTCCCTGTCTGTGCCCTTTACTTTAAATAAAGGACTGTAAATGCTGGGTACCTGCCTTTGGAACAAAGGCAGGACTAAGCAAGTCAGCACTCCCTTCCCACATACCTTCTAGGGCCATGGGGCACTCACCTGTACAACCCTTTCAAACATGTGAGCCAAGGGCAGGTAGGATATGCTCACATCCTCGAGGGTGGGTGCAAAGGTTTCCTACAGATTGGGAAGAGAGGGGAGACAAAATCAGCCTAATGCCAACCTTCTTTCCCAAAGAGATTTAAGAACTACCCGTTAACTATAGTTAATAATACTCTATTGTATATTCGAAAGTTGCTGAAAGAGTTGATCTTAGAAATTTTCATCACAAGAAAAAAGAATTTGTAACTATGTGTGGTATGGATGTTAACTAGACCTTCTATGAGGATCATTTTGCAATACATATAAATATTGAATCATTACATTGTGCACCTGAAACTGTTATAATGTTAGGTGTCAGTTACATCTCATTTAAAATTTAAAATAATATTTTTAAACTACTTCCTTCCATGAGTGCCCCATATAGGCGTGCAGGGGGGTACCCTGCAGAACTGGTAGAGGAGCCCTGGACTGAGCTGGGGTAGTGGATTGCAGAGATCCTCAAAGAGCATTGCTTGAAAATACACAGCCCTCCACACAAAGATACACACTCTTTGCCCACACTCAGGCCTTTAACCTGCGTTTGTTTTTTTTTTTCTTTTCTGACTCCTCTAGCTTCAAGATTAAAATCTCATGTAAGAGACACATTCTAATGAGGACCTCTTTTTCAAATGACCACTCACCTCCACACATTTGAGGAAAGCTGAAGCATTTGAAACAACATTTTGATGGGTTAGCATGGCTCCTTTGGGGTCACCTGTAGGAAGCAAGAGGTGGAGAGAAAGATCCTTTATGTAGCGAATAGGTTACCTTTGGCCTTGAAATAAGAAGTGACATTCAATTGGTTTTATTCCAAAGAGGCAAGAGCTTCTCCTGTCTGACTGATGGCTAGGGGATGTCTGACTGAGTATTTGTACAAGAGGTATATGACTCTGTTTGTGAATGGTTAATGTTCCCCCCAGAGATTCTACTGCTGTCAGCCTTCTGTGTGGCCTACCTCACACAGGCCACAGCCATAGCTCAGATAGCAACACAGATGAAAAGAAAATTCCAAGTAACCTCCCTGTCCCTTGTGCTGGTTTTATGTTGAAGACTTCAGACCTAACAATGTTACCTAGCTATCACTTTATAAACTGGGCAGATGGAATGGGTATAATGTTAGGTCCTCATGGGCCACATGAAAAGCTATTAAGAGTTCTAATAGGTAGGTAGGTACCAGGAGGAGGTGGGGTGTACAGTGATCTTTGTAGAACTATCACTGGGTTATCTTGATTCAATGGCCATTCTAGTGGTGTCAAATTGAGAGTATGGTGGGTTAGGGAAGAAGTTCGGCTTTATGATGCCATCTTTAAGACCCCTGAAATTCATAGCATATAAATTCCTCCCAGTATGTTCAATGAAGTTTATCTATTTATGCTTACTGTTTTCTATTTGGGTATCTACACTCAAAAGCCTTAGGTGGTGAGCCCCTACCAGTGGTCAGTGACTCAAGACATGTTTTTGGCTGACCTGAAGTGTTGGCACAGCTTTATGGGCACTGACCTGTGGTCCCACTGGTAAAGCAGACGATGCCCAGGTCTTCTGGTTCAGGAGGCTGGAGGAGATAGCACAAGAGCTTAGTTTACCATGAACTTTGGGAGTTGAATATTCAAGATTCAAATTTAGGCAGAAGAAACTTACCACGGGTTTTCTGAAATTCTCTTTGCCTATATTCTACAAGAAAGAAAGGCATAAGTTGAGTTGGATAGACTCATGACAAATACAGCCCTCTCCCTTTTCCATGAGAATACATCTATGGGAATATAACCAAAATTTCATCTTGGGTCAGGCTCAGAAGCCCTATGGAAAAGCATAAGATCTAGATTAAATACCTTAAGAGGGAAGACTCTAAATGTCTAAACTTCCTACCATACTCATAGGTTTAATCATCTAGGACTATTGCTAAATATTTTTTTAATAATATGTTTAGTTGACATTTCCAGGCTTACTACATACCAGTCATTTTCCTGAGTAGTTTATATAAATACTAGAGGCCTGGTGCATGAAATCTGTGCACTTAGGAGGTGGGGGTCTCTGAGCCCAGCCTGCACCCTCTTCCAGTCTGGGAGCCATCAGTCAAACATCCTTAGTGCTGCCACAAATGCAGGGAGGCTCCCAACAGTGCCACTGCTCTCGCCAGTCATGACCCCAGCTCAGGACTTCTGGCTGAGCAGTGCTCCCCCTGTGGGATCACACTGATCACTAGGGGGCAGCTCCTGTGTTAAGTGTCTGCCCCCTCGTGGTCAGTGAGCATCATAGTGACCGGTCATTCTGCCATTCGGTCGATTTGCATATTAGCCTTTTATTATATAGGATTAACTAATTAACTCTTTAACATCTCTGTGAGATGGAGACTATATTATCCTCATTTTACAGAAGGGGAAAGGGAGATACAGAATAATTTGCCTCATCTAGTTCCAGGACCATATCCTTAACTACCACCAACCATTAAACTTATAAATCCTCTACTTAGAACTCTGTGCATGCTGGCCACAGACCTTTTGCCTCCCCTGGCATGGTTTCTGAGTTGTCCTGAGGCAATTGTTTTCAAAGCTTCACAGCATGAGTCTAATTTACTCCTGTCCTGCCACCCCTGGGGAATAACAGCCTGCACACTTCTGGAGATGTCAGGCCAAGTAGATGACACCAGGTGCCCATGGCGTCATGCCAGCCTTGGAGTTGTGAGTTGTGTCTCAGACCATTACCTCAGCATCCCAGAAGGATAATAGCTCAACTCCGATCTTCTCCCCTCTTTGCTTCAGGTCATCCTCGAAGACATTCATGAGGATGATCAGTTTCAGGCCTGGAGTGAGGCCCTTCTCCACATTTTCTAACAGATCTGATGCCTTTTTGGGTGTATCACAGATCACCATGGCAATATCAGCTGAAAGCAGAAACACATCCAGAGGTCATCTTCCTGTCTGCTATGTACCTGATGGCTTGTGAGGAGGAAGGGATTTTTGAAAATTTTAAAGCCAGTGGGTCCCCTAAAGGATATTGATTATGTCTACAAATATGATGGGAATGCATAAAACCTAAAACATTCCATTGATAACAAAGGAGCTTAAGTAAAGAAGAAGCAGAGTTTCCATGTGTTCTGCCAACTGAGTTTAGTCTCCAGAGAAGCCACAAAATTCCTTCTGAATTTTGAGAACACAGGACTCTTGAATCGCTTAGGTGTGGTCCTGCCAATGTGTTTTATTTGGGGGAAGAGGAATGAGGATAGAAGGGAAAAGGGGAAGATGGCATCGTAGCAGACAAGCATTTTATGATTTTAAACACTAGCCTGTGCTTTGATACGAATTTACACAAATAGCAACCTCCTGATTGTTTCTACAGTTCAAGTGGATCGTCTCCTTAATCTACTATTTCTGTGACAGAAAGTTACATTTTGGATATGTGGAAGGCCATTGAACTTGTACTTGTTTGAGGCTGGTAGTTTTTTTCTACAGACTTAGTACAAACATTGGATAGCTGTTCTGACTTACACTGACAAGAATAGGAACTTAGACCGGAAGTTTCACAGTGATTAGTCATCCACTCTGGCCTTGTCTCCAATGAGGCCAAAGTAAATAGCCCAGTCCTCTACACTACATTGTCATACTATGTCACCCTAAAACATTCCGTTGGCTTCTCTATCTGTGCATATCCCTGCCTCATGGGCTTTTTTGTAACTTCCCTGTAAATTGTATGTAGGTACTACATGACAGCAGATGTGAGCATTTTTCTAGCCACAGCATTCCAAGTCTGCTAACAAAAGCAGCTCTTGAGGAATTACTCAGCTTTAAGAAAGAAGCAGTTGTGATGGAATAGCCAAGTCTTACCCTTGTTGATGATGTATATGACGGCTTCTGCTCCCAAGGTGTCATACAGGGGCACAGCTACCATGGAGTACGTGTAGCAAGCTAACTCAGAGATGATCCACTGCATGGAGAGAAGGTCAAGTGAGGACAAGAAAGCACTTTGAAGAGGAAAAAGTATTAACTTAGTCGTTTAGCCAACAAATGATTTTATGGTTATTTTGTGGTTTTATTTATTTATTTATTTTAATTTTTAATATATTTTATTAATTTTTTACAGAGAGGAAGGGAGAGGGATAGAAAGCTAGAAACATTGATGAGAGAGAAAGATCGACCAGTTGTACAAGCCCTTGTATAACCAATGTATAAGCCCTTGACCTGAATCAAACCTGGGTCCTTTCAGTCTGCAGACTGACACTCTATTCATTGAGCCAAACCGGCTCCTTTGTGTTTTTAACAAATCACTGTAGGGCCTTAGAGACTATCATAGCTAATGCCTCAAAGTACAGTTAAATAAAGGAGGTAAGAGGCACAGAGCTAACTATAATACAAAGGTGGACCAGGATACAAAGGTAGAGTAGAGTGTGATGAGTTTTGTCCATAAGAGCTATAGAAAGCATGAGGGAGCTTCAAGGAGGCAGAGGTCATGGTCAGGGATGGGGTAAAGGCTATCTGGGGCTCCTTTGGGGAAAGTGGTGAAAATTGGGCACAGGGATTTGAAGGACTGGTACGTTTTGGTTGTGGAAAGGGAAGCAGAGAATGCATTCAGGAAATGAACAGAAGTGGGATAGCATGATGTCAATGTATACACACCAGGAAGCATGAAAAGGGACAGAAAATGAGTCTAGATGCCATGGGCTGAATTGTAGCCCTAACCTCCAATGCCACTCATATTGTCCCAATTAAATCAAGGAGGTGATCAAGGTTAAATGAGTTCTAATCCAACATAGCGAGTGTCCTTCTAAGAGGAAGAGACATCTGGGATGACAGGAAAGGTCATGTGAGGACACAATGAGAAGGCAGCCAATTGCAAGCCAAAAAGAGAGGCCCCAGGAGAAACCAAACTGGCTGACAGCTCCATCTTGGACTTCCAGCCTCCAGAAGTGTGAGAAAATATAGTTCTGTGGTTTAAACCATCAGTTGCTGGTATTTTGTTATGGCAGCCCTAGCAGGCTAATCCACTAGGTTTAGTTCCTCATTGAGGCTGGGTGCAACAAATTAATTCCAATCATTGTATAATGTCTAAAATTGGCTTTCAATGGCCAGTCTCCAAAGCAATGGATGCCTTGGTTTACTTGGTACAACATGCACGTTCCAATTCTGATATGAATACATCCTCTTCTAGAACAGCCTCAAACTCTTATTGGCCAGTACCTTTCAACTGCCTCATTTTCATCATGCAACAAACAGGCTGCCTTAAAATAACTCTTAATGGGCTGGGGAATAAGAGAAGTCCAGTCACCTAACTTAGAGCACTACACAACTAGGAATTAAGGAGTCCCAGAGCTGTAATTCTCTCAAGGGGAAGAATATTGACAGAACATGAGATCTTTAAATAGTATTGGTAAGTTATCAATAATTGTCAGAGAGCTGAGTTAGGGGTGGGCTTAGCCCTGACTCATTTTTTATGAGTTAACTTCAACATGGTTACCTCTGGCCTGTTCTGAGCAAAGATGCCAACAAACTGGTCCTGTGATGGCTTATATCCTTTATACAAGAGACAGGATCCCAGATACTCTGCTCGATCAGACACCTACAAAAGGGAGAAAAAGAAGAGGGGAAGGGAGGAAATCAGTCAAAACCAAAAGGAGACCTTTAGCTTGGCATATCACATTAGCAAAAGAATCTATCCCAAACATGGGCCTCACTTACCTGCTTGTAGGACAGCCATTTGTAGGGCTGGTTTGGTTTTCTGTATCCCAAGCAAGGCCCATTGTCTAAAAACATAACATTAAAAGATGATTAGTTTCATTTGCAAGTCCTTTGGACCAGAGAAGGTAAAAGGGAATTAGGAAGAGACAAACCACATATTATAAATCTAGTTAGAATATGAACTTCTCTTTTGTGTTAAGGAAATTCAAAGGCAATTAAATACTCAGTTCTCAAAAGTAAACTACATTTGAAAGATATAGGAAATTCTGTAGAACAGGATGGCTCAGTGTTGGAATATGTGATCCCCATGGTAACAGGCATTCAGAGAAAGCCATGAATACTGACTAGCCCACATAACGTGAACCAGTAAAAGTTTACAAGTAAACACAGCTGAAATAGATAATCTTGAACTTATCTTCCCTATAATAAAAAAGTAGGCTCATAAAAATATAGAAAAAAATCAAAATATGAGCTGTTAATAATGTCACATAAACACCATTGTTAATAGTAATATTATTTTCATAGTTTCTTTGCATATTCTATAAAGTTATGATGTGTGTGTGTGTGTGTGTGTGTGTGTGTGTGTGTGTGTGTATTTGTCCTGCTTCCTTTCCCTGTTTGATATAAACATTTCCATGTCATTACTTATTCTCTGTAGAGATTTTAGTGGCCTTATTTTGGCCAAATGACAAAGGGTTCCACTGTGGTTTACTTCTCTCATTGTGACTATTAAGATTGTTTCTAAGTTTGACACCTTAAATAATCCAATGGAAAATATTTTCAAATTAATCATTTCAACTTCAGCGCATTTTCTTAGAACAGAGTTCCTAAGAATGAAATGACTGCATTGGGAGCTGAGGGAGGTTGAATTGGCTCAGGGTTCTTATACTTATCACCACAGTGCTTCTACACCACATTGTGACAATTTGCTTTTCTCCACCAGCAACATTTCAAGTCATAGACACTACATAGTACCTTTTTAAACATGTCTTGTGGTTTGATAGATTTAAGAAATTATTACTTTAGTCTACATGTCTTTAACCGCGAGTCAAATGGGACCTTTCCCCTGTTTGTTGAACTTTGTTTACTGTCATCTGTTCATGTGCTTTGCCTGTTTACAGGAGAATGTCTTCTGAAATGCTGAGGCTCAGTCACAGGAGCCTCAGAAGTTGATACGAGGCTCAGGAAGAAGCCTAACTGGCTGAAAGGCCGAAATGAGACCAAGTTATAAATAGAAAAGTACAAGGGATGGGAATTGGACACAGAGGCTCTAGCCAAACTGCTGTGAGAGATTCAGGTCTTGACAAAAGGAAGCATTCAGAGAGAGGGTTACTAGGAATCCAGAGGTAAATACGTAAATTTCCAGACTAAGTGACAGAGGAAAAAGGAAAGAAAGCAGGAAAGAGATAGCTGCTCTGATTAGAAAGATATAAAAAGAAGTGAAGAGACTGTCCACAGGAAGCGTTAGTACTTTTTCTTCCTGCTGAAACAGCTGCAGAAAAGCTCAAGAAGTCAAATCCCAGACTGGAATTTTCCATGAACCCCAGCAAGTCCTGTGCTGTTAGGTGCTCAGCCCCGAGTGTGTGCCTCAGTAGTCTACCAAGTAATTCATTGCACAGACATGAATTACTAGGGATAGCTACCATTTGCAGAACGCTTACTCCATGCTAAGCACATCTGCTCACTTGGTCTTTGCAACTTGTTATCCTCAAGGTCCTGAGAGTCAGAAAGGCCCAGGACACCTTCTTCAAGCTCACTCTGTAGGTGGCAGAGCTGATGAGTGTGGAAAAAAACTGCATCGCCTTGTCGCTTCCCTATAGGTGAAAATTCTAGCAGAGGCCCACGGCCAAGGAACAAGTCAAATAATTGGCCCAAAGGGACACCCACCGAAGTCTCATTAAACTTTATGTCCTAATCAGCTTCAGTCTAATTAGCCCAAGTCCTAATCAGGCAGTAGCCTAGCCTGTGATTAAATCACCCAACTCAGATCTGTTTTAAGGCGTGGCTATCTAGAAAGTCCACTCATTAACAACTGGGCAAAATAACTGGCCTGAACTGGATAGAGTTGAAACAACGGCATGTAATCCTCTCCCCACAGCCAGGCGTTGTTAAAATTCAGATTCTTAGGCCTCACTATCTGGAATTCGGATTCAGTTTAATAAGGTGGAGCCAGAGGAGTTCATTTTAAACATTATTCACAGGTGATTCTCAACAGTGGCCGTTTACTCTGGGTAGAGGTGAAAAGTATATGTTAGGGTTGATGTATTCAATCCCAGTAGGGATCAGAAGTGTCATTTTTTCTGAGGAAATAGCCAGGCCAGGTCACTCCTGTCTGCTGACAGGAGGTGCCTTTTTAACTTTATCAGTTTGGTTTTAATTTGGTATTGAAAGAATTATCTAAATGAAGTATTTTACGCAACATTTTGTAGTTCTGTCATCTTCAGAATGTCTGAATCTCCGAGGCCCTGGTTTTTCATTTTAAAAAGTGAGGAAGGTAGTAGCTAATCCTTGAAGTTTAGGGAAGATTAGTAATGCCTATTGCATAATTATCATTTGACAGGAGCTGACTATTAAACATCAGAGTCAAAGCTAAAGGTAGAAGAAAAGGGAGGGATAAGAAGTCATGTAGACAAACTTATGCTTGGACAGAATGTCACCCCAAAGAAAAAAAGATATAGGCAGGGCTAGAAGCCAATAGCTTGTAAAGGAAACCAGTGCACCTAGATTTGTGTGCAATGATAAAGATGTAAGTGCTGAGGCTTCATACATCCCAAGTGAACCTACCAAGGCCCATGTGGCACTGTTTCTAAGAAAGTTCAAAAGATAATTGCTGCCTGTGATTGCAAGAGGAGCAGTAGTGTGGTATTGGGGTCAGGACAAGGTCAGAAGTCAGGAGGCCTACATGCTAATTCTGGCTCACATCCTGCATCTGGAAAATTGCATTTATGAAAAGCGCATTCCTAAACAAATATGTACTAATGTACTAGTGAGTTCATTAAAATACTTTCATACACATTATTGTTGACTGTTTAACAACATCTTGCAGGGAAGTTCTTGTGTTGTGAGGGACAGATTCAGAGAGGCAAAGTGGGTTGTGCAAGGTCACAAAGCTAGAAATGGAAGGACCGGATTTCAAACCCAATGTCCTGCATTGTTTCCTGATACTGTGATTTTCTGATTCCTGCATCTACTCTAACACTGCTTATGTACCTTGCATTTCATATGTAGGGATTCTACCCAGACCACAACTAGATTATTAGAAGTGAGACAGGGAAGCAGTTAGAGAACAAGACCCCAATCTGAGTCTTCTCACAGGCAAGGTGAGACTGCCAGGCTTACCAGACACAGCAAGTCCTCTTTTAAAAACTTCATACATCGTCTTGGCATCTGAGAAGTAGTAGCTTAGCAGTTCATTGCTCTTCTGGCGAGCATTCTTCCGTGCTCCTCCCTAAGACATAAGGCCAAATTTAGGGCAAGCCAGAGTCTCTCACCACCCTTTCCAAACCCTTATGAATTGAATAGAAGGGAATGTAAATGCTGACTACTGAGATTACAGAGATTACCGCCCCTACCCCAATCCTATTCGATCAATCAAGTCTTTAAATCTCAAAATTGAAGTCTCCACATCATAGAAACCCAGAGACTATCACAGTTATTTTTTGGGCTATCTCCCATCATCCTTCTAAGAACACACACACATACAACACACATGAGAAATGATAATATAGATTCTTTTTGTTGGGCTTTGTTTTGTTTTACCTTATATCTCCACAGGAAAACATAGCCCTGTTGAGTGTCTATTACATCCTACAGAGAACTTCTATTTTAGGTCACAGCATTAAGAGCTCCTGGTTTTGATCCTACAACCTCTCTTTGAAATGATCTATATAATACTGTAAGTTTTATCCTTTAAAAATCCATACCAAGTTTAAACATCTATGAAATGCATACTGTGTTCTAGACTCTATAGTTGCAATGTAAGTTAAGACAAAACTGCTGACCATGAGCACTTCATAAGTGAAAATTTTTGGAGTAGTTATGGGATAAGAATGTACAGCATGTACAGCACAAATGTAATACTGTGCTGTACATGCTGAAGTAAAATATATGTTTGCGGAAACTAATGAAGCAACCAATTCTATATTAAGTAAAAAGGCTACAGAGAAGAAATGATATTTCAATGGAAACTTTAAAGATAAGCAAGCAATTAACAAGAAGGTATAGATTGATAGAGTGGAGAGAAGGAATGATTCAGAGTGAAGGAACAGTGTGAACAAAGACACAGGGGCAAGAAAACACACAGCAGATCCCAGTGGGCAGCCAGAGAACAGGGTATTTGAGAAAGAGGGAGTGGCTAGGGATATGTTTAGAAATGGCAGCTGGAAGTCCGGGGCTTCATGTGGATCTTGGATGTCGGAGTGCACTGGAGTTACAGGCATGGTCCAACCCTCATGAAAGTTAGTCTAGAGAGAACTAGACATCAATTAAATAAACATCCGAAAGGGGTCATTCAAGTGCAGGCTAATACAAGAACTCTGACTTGTCTAGAGCTTTAAGTAAAGAGGTTAAAAAAAAAAGTTTCTTGTCTAGTGAAGGAAGATAGGGTCTTGCCATCTGTTTTTATAGATGGGTTGAGGAAGAAGGAACAATGAAAAGTGATTAGGATTCAACTTTCGGCACTGGATAAGAAGAGATGCATTTAACTAAGATGGAGCAGGAAGGGAAACAGGAAAGGTTATGGTGTGTGTGTGTGTGTGTGTGTGTGTGTGTGTGTGTGTGTGTGTGTTTAGGAAGAAGATATTCAATAAAGATACTTGTTGACCTTGAGTGTCACTGAGTGGATTGGAATTCAGGAGAAAGGTCAGAACTTGAAAGTCAGATTTGGGTGTCAGAACCTTTTAGGTATATTGCCAAGTCACAGGAGAGGAAAGGTTTTTTCAAGTATGAGGAATTAAAGCAGGGAATGGCAGACTTTGATTTGAGCTCACATCTGGCCTGAACCTGCTTTTACAAATAAAGTTTTATTTGAACAGAGCCATGTTCTTTCAATTTCATATTGTCTGATACCTTCACGCTATAACAGAGTTGAGTAGTTGCAACAGAGCTCTCATATGGCCGTAAAGCCTGAACTGTCTGGCTTTCAAAGAACATGCCTGCCAGCCCCTGCTTTAGAGGAATGGAGATGGTGATGCTGAAACTCTAGGCTGAGAAGAGAAAACAACCTCAGAGGCAAATAAAGGCTATCTTGGAATTAGAAAGAAATTTTGAAAGGCAAAAATGGAAGTTGTAAAAAAGAAGTCCCAAATCAATTGAGAGGAAGGTTGAAGGAGAAAGCACTGAATTTGGAAATTAGATTATGAGTGACCCATGAAAGTTTGGGGAGATAGTAGTAGTAAAGGTCTGACATCAGTGGGTTGAAGTTTAAATGAGGAAATCAACAGACTACTCTTAAAGAACTCTGGTGGAAAAAAGGAAGGAGTGGAAGGAGATGGTAGCCTGAAGTGGCAGGATCAATGTGAGTGGACACTATCAATGAAGGACATACAAACACACCAGAATAAAAGGGAAAGTGGTGGGCAGTGCAGTTAACTCTGAATAAGAACCCCACATAGAGGAAAGATGTTCAATAAAAGATCAGAAGGGGGTTAGCTTTACAAAGGAAAAGGAATGCTTTCTTTCTCTGAAAAGGATTGAAAATGAAAAATGATGCAGAGAACATTCTTAGAGCTTTCCCTTTGCTCAGTGATATAAGAAGCTGTATGATTTACTGAAAGTTGGGGGAATTGAAGGACAAGGTTCAACATCTGCCTGTTTTAAGAATGAATATTAACTCAAAGCTGGAATTTAACTAAATAACTCACATTCCCTTTTCAGACATTGAGTATCTCAATAAAAATATTCTCCTAACCCCGAAGTCCTGAATCTGTCATCTAGATCAGCCATTTTAAACTTTTTTCATCTCATGGCAGACATAAACTAATTGCTAAAAATATATATTTTTTGGCTGATCTGACAAAAAATATAGGTATAATCTGGATTCATTCACTCTGAATGGCTATTGTTGGCTGTTGTCATTTTTTTTTTTTTTTTTTTATAATCTAAAGGAAAAGAGGTCAGTGCCACTGACTAAACAATCAGGTATGGTATATAAAAAAAAAATCTTATACCAGACCAGTTCAAAATCGCTACTGTAGATCATACATTGACAAACTTTTACAACAAAAGGATAGATAGTAAATAGGCTTTGTGGAACACATGAGCTATTCCTTGTTTTAGTTTTTACATATCCCTTTTAAAATGTAAAAACCATTCTTACCTTGCTAGTCCCATTTGAAAAAGGGTGTATTTTCCTCGTGGGTTGTAGTTTGACAACCCTGATCTGGATTACTGGTGTCTTAAGACCTAGCTGAGGTTTCCTTTTTATTATAAAGGAACATGTGTCATTAGTAGAAGTGTAAATGTTGATCACTGACCTAAAAGGATTACTTTCCCAACCCCATTCTCTTCATGAGTTATACCAGTGTCTTGAGTTACACACAGTTTGGGTTGGACCAATGTTGATGCACTGAAAGGTGATAGGTAAGTTACCTCAATTCCCACGGACTGGTGGTTCAGATCAACCGCAGGCTGAACTGGGTGAGGCCTGTTGATGAGCCATAGGAAGATGGCGACTCCACAGGTCAGGAGGCAGATCAGTGCCGGGGTTGGAAGTGGGGAAAACAAGAAGTTGAAGATAAAAAGCATCTTTGTGAATAGCAGCAGGAAATGCAAGCCTAAAAAAAAAAGAGAGAGAAGGAAACAAAAAATTAGAGGAAATGACTGTATATTTTGTACTCAATCCATCTAGGTTTACAGAAGGACACATACACACACACACACACACACACACACACACACACACACACACACACACGGCTTCTCCTCCTCCAAACAGCCCAAGTTGGACCTCTCTAGTAGCAGAATTTTTTGCACTGTTTCCCTTAGCAATGTTGTAGTTAATAGAATGTGTTCTACTGTACCCAGCTGCTACTGGACTGTCCTCCCACAAGGTGGAAAGGATCAAAGGAAAAAAGTTAATCATTTCCCAGACAATTTTGAGGAATGACTGTCCTTTTATTTCTGGCCCATAAAGCCTAGAACCAGCCTTCTGGGCCCAACATAAGCTGGTAGGCAGAGGATGGTGCTGCAGAGAGCTTCCCAATGCCCCTGCAGGAGAGGGTCAAGAAGGACCCTTCCAGCTGGATTTCCCTAGTATAAACCAAATGGCAGAGGGAACCTCTGTAGAGGTGAAACCACAGATTTTAGAAGTCAAGCGCTCTACATGAAGGACATTTCCTGCAGGCCAGATATGCTTTGCTCACTGCTTTCTGTTTTTTTGTTTTTTTTTTTAAGCATCAGGAGGGGTTTACTATGTCCAATGTCCTCTGGGGATCCTGGAGGAAACATTTTTTTTATTGGAGGCCACGTGAATCAGGTAGACAGAAAGGGTGCTGGAAAATGGGCCTGGCACTTGGTGGCAGGTGAGCCTGGGAGATTTGGGCCAGGAAGAGATCTCAAGAAACCAAGAGCAGCCCTAGCTGGTTTGGCTCAGTGAATAGAGCATCAGCCTGCAGACTGAAGGGTCCCAGATTCGATCTGGCCAAGGGCACATGCCCAGGTTGCGGGTTCGATTCCCAGTAGGGGGCATGCAGGCCAATCAATGATTCTCTCCTATCATTGATTTTTCTCTCTCTCTCCCTCTCCCTTCCTCTCTGAAATCCATAAAGAAATATATTTTTAAAAAGACAGAAACCAAGAGCAACAAAGCCTTCTTCCAACACATCTTTTATTGTTACTTCTAGCCAAGAGGAACAGCTTGAAACTACGCTCACAGAAGGGACTAAAGTTTGGGCAGGTTGTAGGAACCAACTCCTGCCTCAGAGCTTTCACACTGATTAGAATGGTAATGGCAGCAAACATAGGAGCATTGACTTGATGCCAAGCACTGAGCTTATAACGGAATGAAAGGCACTGGACTCCACCTTGTTCAAGCCTTTCTTGTTCCCTGGCCTTTCCACTAAAAGCTCCTCTTTTGTCTTGCATACAGACATGGTAGTCATTAGAGGAATTCTGCTTAGAGATTGACATTTACAAAAACAGCCCCTCTCATTTCCCTCCCTCAACATAAAAGAAGCCTGAACTCTGTACTTTCTGAAGATGGATTTGAGGAACCACTAGGTCTCCTATCTTCTTGATTGGCTCCTTCTTATCAATTAACCTTTCTTCAACCTAAATTCTGCTGTTTTTAATTTTGATGGTTCAAAGTGTTGGACCCACAGATTTTGGACAAATAAAAGGATAAGGTGTTTGCAATCATTTAACCTGACCAATGTCCTAAAGTAGCATTTTTCCAGACAACAATATAGAAACTCCCAGGAGTAAAGTGACTTATCCGTTCATTTACCATTTTCATTGATGCTTCCCCCTTAAAATCTACAAAACCACAACAGTTTTGCTTTATAGAAATTAGGCCCCAACTTCAAGGAGACTGGATTTGTCTGACAGCTTACAGGTGAGAGCAAAGTTTCAGATTGCATCCTGCAAAGTTTATTTCAGTGCCCTATGGAACAGTATCTCAAATCACAAGACCAATGCAAGTCCAATAAAATATTTTATCAGATCAAGACCATCATCGCCCTTTGAACTGCGGGACAGCTGCCATTAGCTGGTATCCAGAACGTTTTCTATCAAGGAACACACTCACTCCGTGCTAACCAAGGCTGTAAAACTTAGGAATTGTGTGTGGGAGTGAGAACAGTCCCAAGAAACCCTGAGTCATTCATCATTTATGTGCCCCTGATTGGTTATCACCTGAGTTTGGAGTGGTCCTTCTCCATTTTATGGAGGAAAAATGAACTTCCAGAGAATGGGATGACAGTCTCCAACGCCTTGGTTTCTTCCACATCATGTTTAGGGGATGCAAAAGACAACAAAGCAAAAACAAAAGCAAGGCTCCACAGGGTACCACCTTATTCACAATAGGTGCTATTGTGACTGCCTGCCAAGATTCTTAGAGCAGGGATTTTTGGAATCCAGTATTACCTGGACTTGTGTGCTGAAGTGGCTCTCCAGGAGGCAGAACCTGTTCAAGAGCCAGCCATTTAGAATGCAACTCTAAGGCTGGCCACCCCAAGCCAGGATGGTTGTGAAATGGACAGAGCAGAAAGCAATGCCAAAGGGAAGAGAAGCCTGCTCTGCCTTCTCCCATCCTGCCTACCGCCAGCCCCTCCCCTCAGCCTGGGACATTGCCACCAGCTCCCTAATGTCTTGTGCTCCAGGATTCTTCTCTCTGCCCCAATGCCCCTGTCAAATTAAGAGGTTCTCACCTGCATACCCCCTTCCCCCACCCCACCCACTTCTCAGCTATGAGAACACGTTGCATTGAGGACTTTGCCCTCTTCCTACAGATGGCAGATTCAGTGGGAGACTTGACAAACAACAGCTTTAAAGAGGGTCTAAAGGTGATTTATGCCCAGTTGTGGCAGTATGGGAGGGGGAAGGAGGGCCAATAGCCTGGCAGGTAGCCTAAAGGGAGAGGGGAGAAAGAGGGAACAGGGAGAAAAAGAGATAAGGGAGAGGGAGAGGAAGATGAAGAGGGAAATGGTGAGATAGATAGATAGATAGATAGATAGATAGATAGATAGATAGATAGATAGAGAAAGGCAGCATCTGTTATTAACCTTGACTGATTGTTATCATGTAGTAATATCAGCTTGAAGTCACCAGATGGTCAGATTTTTTTTCTCCCTAGAAAACCTGGAACACTGGGTTTTTATGAAACCCATATTTTAACTCTTGGCTCAAACGGTAAGTGTCCAATTTGGAATTAACAAAAACATCTGTGGTTTAACCTGAATTATGGTCCGCCAATGAGCACTTCTCTTAGACATATTCCAGTCATACTGCCCACAAATGGAATAGGACAGACGACTTCCTCACAAACAAGGGAGGTGTTTATGAATGCCAAGACCGGTTTCAGGAGAATAAAAGCACCTTGCCTGCAATGGATTTCGGAAGCTGCTGAAGGATATATCTGTGTGTCAATTGCAATAATGTGCTTTCCTATTACTGACCTGGCACCCAATTCAAATAGGATATGCTCAGATTTTCAGCTGTCCCTCCCTGCCCCCTCACATTTTTAAAAATTGAGGTAGAATTTGTATAACAGGATTAATCATTTTTAAATGTACTATTTAGGAACATTTAATTCATTCATAACATTGTACAACCATCACCTCTAATAAATCCCAAAATATTGCTATTACCCCAGAAAGGACATCTTGTAATACATTAAGCATTCACTCCCCATTCTCTTCTTCTCCAAGATCTTCGCAACCTCAAATTTACTTTCTACTTCTATTGATTGACTAATTCTGAATATTTCATAGAAATGACATTATATAATATGTGACTCTTTGTGTGTGATTTCTTTTACTCAGTATAATATTTTCAAGATTTATCGATGTTACACACTGACAGACTTCAGAAAGGAGAGGTGTTAGTGAGGGAACTGGAAGAGATTAACCAAAGAACATATATGCATATATGCATAGGCAGTAGACACAGACGTATGTGGTGAAGGCCTGTGGGGCGGGGGCTGGGTAGAGGTGGGCAAAGTGGGACATCTGTAATAGTGTCAACAACAAAAAGAAAAGATTCATCCATGTTATGTATCAGTTCTTCATCCCTTCATATGGCTGCTAAATTAGCTCATCTTTTCATTTGCTTATTGGCCATTTGCCTTTCTTCTGTAAAGAAATGTCTAATCCAGTCCTTTGCCCATTTTGAAATTGGTTGCCTTTTGTTTTTGGGTTGTAAGAGACCTTTATGATTCTCTAATATTTTCTCCCACTCTGCAGTCTTTTCACTATCTTGACAGTCTTTTTTTTAATGCACAAAACATGTATGTTTAACCTTGTAATGCTACCTACCGCTAGAGAGGATTTGTGCCCTTACCATGCAACTCTCACTATAAACGGGAGAAACAGAGAGTCTGAGAGAAGGCAAGATCTTCAGGTTGAGTTACACCATCCTGACTGGGAAGCTTGGGTAACCATTCCAACCTTTAGAATTTGTTAACACATATGTGCTCAAATGAACAAGGGGAAAGCCACCATTGCTTCCATCATGTGTCCTGTGTCACTCAAATGACAATTCTGTTTTGGCCACTTCACAGAATGCCCTACAAGCAGCTGGTGAGACAGCATTTTCTCTTCCCTTCACGGCACTCCTAGTTGGGAAAGTGAGTGTAGAGATAAGTGCAATAGTGGTAAAGGAAAGAGGAAAGAGAGTTGTGCCTTGCTTTGCTGTATCCGTGAGTTCCTGTTCCAAATTATCTGAAGATGGTAGGGCGAGCCACAGTGCACATCAGGATGGTCCCAAGTGGGAAGCTTCCTCCACTTCTGATGTGGTCACAGTGATATGCCTCTGACTCACACCCCTGGATGCCAATTTGCCCCCAGCATTCCCTCTGATTTATTCCAGGGCTTTCCATTGTCTGGTGGTATGGATAGCTATAGCCATGTCGCTCATCTTCTGGCACCTATCCTGTTTAATTCCTGAGCTAGCTGAAAGACCCCTTCTGCTTGCAAGCTCCCAGGGCCAGCCTTGGTGTCTAGGTTATGATCACCACTTATTCAGCTTTGGGTTTTGCTTCCTTGTGGATTTAAGACGGTATTTCTTCATTACTTCTATTTTTCTTTGAATGAAATCCCTGAATGGCCCCTTCTGCCCT